CCAGACAGGAAAAGCTGCAAACTGCAGAGTTAAAGGGCAGGATGTAGAAGTGGACATCCAGAGGCCGACAGCAGAATATGATGCCACTGCACACACTCATCCGCTCTCCTCTCTTCCTGTTTTCTCTCTTCTTTTCTTCCCTTTCACTCTGATGCAACACTACTGCTGTTGACAGTTAGCAACTGATCCAACTGTTATTTTTCCTAATTAAATAAGCTGATTACCATGCATCTGTTTATATGACTTTTTAAGGTTAAGAAGCCTAATCCATTTTTCTTATGGAAGTGCAGATGTGTCAGTCAGTTGGGACTGTTATCAGTTTACTGTTGTCCTGCAATATTTAAACAGGAGACTGACAGCCACTCACAGTAAGGAGCGTTCATGAGCAGAAATTTTTAGTCAGCCCTTTTACAGTAAACACGGTGACATTTCTCAGACAGTGTGAGCATGTGTAGTATATAAGGACGCAGGTTTGTAGTATATAAAAATATTTATTTATTTATTTCATTGTTTGGATTTATTGCATTTTTTTATCTGTTCAAGGAGCTGTCTATTTTCTTCTTCTTCTCTTTTTTTTGGGAAACTCCAGCAAGAGTTTGCAAAAGATGAGAAGAAACATAATGTGTGTGTGTCTGCTTGCGTGTGTGTGAGTGGCCAATGAACAAATATAACATCATTATTACTAATGATAGAATAAATGAATGCAATTAGTAATATAAAAACATATATTAAAAACCAATTATATTCAAAATAGAAATAGAGAATTTACATAAGAATTCTGAACAAAATAAAACAAATAAAAATGAAAATTAACACAGTCAAATAAAGTTTCACAGTTTTATTTTCCAGTGTAAATTTCTAAATGCAGTTATACTCAATCTTTTATTTATTGATTCATTTTCTTGGCCTACACGACCTAATGATAAACCAGGCAAACTGTTCATTCGTTTTATCACTCTACAACCTGAGTCTGGACTGGCATTTTAAGCACAGCCTAAATCTCAGGAGTTTCGTTTTTACTGTTAGACTTCAGTCAAGACAAGCATCTGAAATTCTGTTCAGGTGGAAGGCAAATATATCATTGTACTGTGTTTGGGAATTGCATAAGTGATGGAATGAGGTTACAACTATTTAAACCGGGCATTGTAAGCATGAAATTAATCGCAATTCTGTGACTGTATGGCTTTTTGCAGTGCAAAAGTTAGAAGTAGCCCAGTGCAGCTTTGAATTTCTGAATATAAAAATACTGGAATGCTGCCTACAAACATGTAAAAATTTGGGCCTTTTAATTGTAGAATGTAAAATCACCACAGGTTCCTGAACCCCTCAAACTCATCTCACAAGAAAAACTCATCAGTGCCTTCAGTGTTACCAAGGGCCCTTTGGGGAAAGCAGTAGTTTCCATGGTAATGTCCTCTGTACTGGACAATTCAACACTGGGGCATCAGTCAGAAAGTCTTTTTGCACAGGAAGGTTCCTACCTCAGTGAAATGACCCGGAAATATCTGAGCAGCAGCCATGATAAGAGCTGGTCCAATACTCTTAATGATAAGGAAAGGAGATTCAATATTTCCTATCTTATCTCCTTTGGCATAGGGGCTTTCCTTTACGAAAGGAAAGGAAATAATGCTGTCCCACAAGTCCTTGTAGCAGCAACATTTAAAGCGACGCAGTTTCACCATGGCAACACATAAATGTAGAAACAACAGAGCAGCTGTTTTATGCTTGTGACTCGATCCAAACCTTATGGAAATCCATAAATATAGATTTCTTGTCTTTAAACCAGTCCACTTTGGAGTCATCTTGAAGAACAAGTATATTGAATTTATAGTTAACAATATCATCATCATAACAATGATTACTAATGTGATTTCATTAACCTGCCTATTGTGAAATGCACTAAAAAAAATTTTATGATGAAAGGTGAAAAGCGCCCATGCCAGGAACCCGTATACTCGTGCCTGAGTATAGTTTATTCTGGTTCCCTGTTTTTTTTATTTAATTCAACCGTACTTGTATATTCCTTTCATGTGTTAAAATATAAATAAATAAATAAAATATTTTTGACTTATTTTGACTTTTTGACCGCAGCCCTGATGATTCATGTTCAGTGCCAATGCAGGAAGTGTGTTCTTTACACAGTGAGGAGGAAAGTAGGTGAAACGTCCAAGATATTTTGAGTTTATTCGCCATAACAACAATCTTTCCCTAACCCTAACCATACTGTTATAACCAAGCACAGATACTGCAGAAAAAAATGTAAAATGTTGTGATTGAATGCAACCAAATCATTCTCATCTCCAGGTCGTCAGCTACTGACTCTTTTTCTTTTGTTGCATCTCAGTTTCAATACTGCTTTTAGTGAACTTATGGGTAGTACACTGACATGTAGTACACTGTGTACACAGTATACTCACTGGCATAATGCGTGAATATCAACAGGGCTGTGTTGTGTGTGCCTGTTTCATGCATGTCATATGGAAATAAGGCCGCCATCTGCACCAACAAAGTGTCTCCTTCCTCCGCCGCCATTTTCACAAGTTTGAAGATACATTGGCAGTTGCTCCCCTTTCCTTATGTAGCCAAGATGGCGACTGTTGAAGGTGAAAAGTGTCCATGTTTTACAGTCAATTTTTTGACCATTATGAACGCACCATCCAGGTACAGATTCATTCATAGTCATTTTACAATCCCTCACAAGCTCTTAGATCCTCTGCCACGCAGGTTTTTTAAGAGATGTGGGCTGTGTGAACATTTTTAAAGGTCAGGTGAAAACCTATTATTTAATTTGGCTTTTAATGAATTCTCTCATATTTTACTTTTCTTACTGGTTTCTGTTTTTATCTACATTTAAATATTTCTTCATCTACTCTCTTTCTGTTGTCTAACTTCATCGTCCTTCTCATACTTGTCAATATGAACACATATGCAGTCAAAATAACAGGTGTGAGTATGGAAGTACACGATTTGAGACACAGCATATTTGTCATACCTGCTGGTATGTGTGTGTGTATACAACCAAACTTGAGAAAAGAATGTGTGGGGTTTTTTTCAACGATTGTGCCAACTACAGCAGTAATGGGGAAAAAAAAAAAAAAATAGTCAAATTCACTTTATGAACTGCTGCAATCTTACTGATAGCAGTATGCTATCACTGGAAAATAGAAATCATTTGAAACAATTCTATGATAAATAATTGTTTCTCAGTGACAACATAGAGTGGAAAGTCTCTGCTCCACTTGTGTTATACAGTCAGTTAATAAATGTGTGGATGTCCAAGAGTCTAGACCACTTCATGTGGTTTCAGTCCTCTGAACTCATGAACAAACCCAGTGTTTCCCAGTGACAAACTCATGGACATACTGTCTCTTGGTAGGCAGAGTTAGAGATGCAGAAAGCAGTCATGTGGTTATCCTTCGGACGCAGCAGCAGACCTGAGCGTCTCTTCTTCCTTGGTGTCTCTCAGACTCTCTCCTCTGGTCCTCTCTGCAGCACAGCAGAATGTCTATAGGTGATAACCTCAGTGTGAGTCTGGGTTACTGACCCTGTCCTTTACAGACGTACCTTTCTGGCCTGTAAGGTCTGTGTGCTGATGTGCATCGCCCGGCTGAGACAGGTGAACAAGGTGTATATGGACTGTTACGTAGTGGTACAAGCAAGCAGACATGAAAAACATGAGGGCAAAAGTCTTTGAAAAACCATAAAGTTAAAAAGAAAAGTTAAAAAGAAAAACCATGTTCTTTACCCAAGTAGTGCTGCTAATGCTGTCTAAACACCAACATGTGTGTGTGTGTGTGTGTGTGTGTGTGTGTGTGTGTGTGTGTGTGTGTGTGTGCTGGTGTATGTGTGTGACTCACTTCTTGTTTTTGGTGGAGTAATAAGGAAACTCATAGTCAGGGCTTTTGTAAAGACCTTATTGTCAACTACTACGTCCACACTCCTAATGGCCCAATCCATTCTGAGAAGAATAGCAGGAAATAGAAAGTGGTTGTGTAAGCTGGTCAAGGTCTGCTGCCTCACTCAAAGTGTAATTTCAGAAAATGTGGTGACCTTTCTTTAGTACCATTGGGGGCTTCTGAAACACCAACATAATGTGACAAGTGTGTCAAATAATATTTATACATCGCACAACAGCCACTTATTTAAGAGACTATGAGGAAACCTAACAGGATTTCTATATATGAAAGGTGTGTCAGAACATGTGTACTTCACTTTATACTACTTTTTACTCTCAAAGGTAAAAATATTGTAGTTTTGCTCCACTATATGGTGGAGTGGCACTGATAACTCAAAGAAATGCCATGGTTTGAATCAGGAAGTGGTCTGAGGGGGGTAAAGGTATCATCTGCTACTCTACATTAAGGTTTCACTTTTAAACTTTCCTGTTAAGCTATTTTATTCTCATCCAAACTGAGGGTCTAAGATAGAGGCTGTTGTATGAAATACACAATGTGATTTATTGTGATTATGATTTCTGTGCAGAGTTTACATTTTGTCCTCCTGGGATATTTTTTTCAAGTCCATCTTTAATCAATATTTATATTGAAAGTGCAATGGGTTACTGTAATAGTGCCATCCACAGTCCACAGTCCTTTATTATCCCACACTGCATGTTGGACAGCCTCATTTCTGTATCGCTCCAAAACCAACGAGCAAGAACACTGACACACACTAACGCTGTGACTGGCCAGCTGCTGAACAGGCTTCTTCGTGTGTTTCCTCAGGGTTTACAACAGATGAGACAAATGTTAAAAAAAAAACAAAAAAAAAACAGACAGCAGCTAAAGTTAGTGTTGTTGGTTTCAAAGTCCGTTGAATCACAAGGTCTTTTTTTCCTGTTGCACCCTCTTTTTCTGCTGACCATAGCAGGTGCCCTGGAATCTGCCACACACACACACACACACACACACACAGAAAGAGAGAGAGAGAGACAGACAGATAGTTCTTGGTGTCTTCTCTCACACATGTAGAGATCTAGTTCTCAGAGTGTGAAAAGAGAAATGACCAGTGACAGGGTCCACGCTGCTTTACCTGACCCTCCCAGTCAAAATGAAGAAGACAACAAAGAAGAGGAGAAAGCTTTTGGGAATATTTTTGCAGAGTTAGAATCTGTGGACCTCCCTCTCGGAACCACATTAAGGTAAACTCATTAATCCAATTTAGAAAGTGAGAGATGTAAAATACTGATTGATCTCAGTATACACATTAACAATCATGTGATGCCTTTATGAGCATCTATGTGGAGACTTGCATGTAGGCTACTGTATTTGATAAGGAAATAAACATACTTGCCTATATTACATTTGCTTAAAATACCAAAGGTATAGGCTAATTTAACATTTAGTGCCATGTACTTTTAAAAATACTTAAAACATAGAAAGAAATTATCTTTATGGGCAGGAGCATTGTATGTTTTTGCCATTTTGCTGCCTGATATAAAAATCTGCAGACACTCAGGGCTGAATGAAATCCTCCACTGCATGTTTTTGTGACAATAGTTTATTAGTTTATATTTTGATTTACAGGGGACAATGTGTAATTACAATATTATTTTTAAAAGACACTAAACATGAGTGTCAAGAAATGACGGGGCAGTAACAGTGCTTTAGGGTTAGTGCATTAATATACAGACTGAATGATTTATTATTATGGTAACATATTACTTGCTAGATTGATTGAAATTCTGCAATTCAATTGATGTAGCCAGCAGCCAATAACCAAACTGGTTTGCCATGTTGGCCACAGGACCTACTTTAGGGTAAAGGTCTGGGGATGTGCAATTCTCTTGCTGTGACCAACTGTATTGTAACGTACGGGATGTGTGGAAACTATACAGTGTATGGTGGAAACAAAGCTGCTGCCGCTAAATTCAACACAGCTGTAGTGCGCCCCCCACAGCCCAGATCCTGACCTGTACTCCGCTGCAGCTGCAGTAATAGCCACAATACACACACAACAGTCATGGCGGAGAATGAAACCTTGGAGTGTATAACGGAGCACGAGCGGATTTTACAGGAAATAGAGAGCACCGACACGGCTTGTGTCGGCCCTACTCTTCGGTGAGATTATATGGCTTCTTAGAGAGCACTTACCAATCATAATCTCTCTGTGTTTGGTTGCATCACTTACAATATCAGACCTTTTGTTCATGAGCTAGCTTAGCTAACCTAGCCACCGGCAGGCTAACGTTAGCAATTTCTGCCAGCAGGTATATGGAGTTGAAATGAGGCTTGAGCCTAGCTGGCTTGCTAGCTAACAGGCTAACACTGAGCAGTGTTTTAGTCACTTTAACATGGCTTTAGTAAAACCGAATCTGTGTGACGTTTTCCTGGTTCTGTGTACTGATGGACGGCTGGTGACCTGTCAAAAATGTAAACATCATTTGTGGGTGTGGCTGTGGGACTTCACATCTTGCTGATGTTAACTAGCGGTGCTAACAATTTCGGCTAGTTGGTCAGCAAAAATAGAAAGTTCACCCTGCTGTCATTCCGCTATGCCATAGTTGGATGAGTCATCTTGACCCCCTGGTGTTGTTTTGTGTTGTGGTTGCTAAATAGCTTGTGACGGTAAAATGGGATGTTCAATTGCTCAAGCTAACGTTCTCTAGCATGCTGCATTGGTTATGGTAGATAGCTACCAAGCTAGCTTCCAAGGCCATACTGAATGACATTAGTTTGACAAATTGGTGTTTATAAACTGACTCCAGCTTCAGATGAATGCCTCCACCTGTCACACACACCTGTAGTGTAGACAGACTTGTCTTTGAGCTTACCTGTGGAAACCAGAGAATGTATGCTTTACCTCTGGCAGCTTGTTTCGTTTCAGTAATTATTTTATGGTGGTATCAACACTGACATTCCTTTACCAGCACAGGTGATCAAGGTTGGTTGTAATAAAATGTCAGTTATGCCCTTTGCCTGTTCATTGGCTCGTTAACGATCTTGCTCTGCTCGTTAACGATCTGCTCTTTATAATCTGAGTACAGAAATAATCTCTCCTGGGGTTTGAAGAGTAGGTCCAGCTTCTGTCTGTTTGTGTTACATTTTCAAGATTTTGTTTCCAGTTTGAGACATATTCCTGCTTGGTGTTTTACCTGCCTGAAGTGAAACTTCTGGTTTCATTCTTGATTGTATATGTGGTGAATTAGCATCACAATTGAATGGACTCATTATTGGAAATATTTTTGAATACTGTTCACACTTTGCTAAATTGATGTTCTAAATTCATGCAACTTTTACAACAGGAGTTGAACTCCTTGAACCAATGTTACAGTTACATAAGACATATTATGTCTACATAATAACAACTTTAGGGAAAGGGCAGGTACTCAATAGCTGTACAGTCAGGAATGGAGACATGATGTGTTGTTTATTTGTAAATGCATTTGAATTATTTGTATCTTGTGCTTAAGAACAGGAATGGACTCATGGGCAGTTCTTCTAACCAACCTTCAGACCAGAGGTTATTGGTGTATGATGTTTGCATATATTTTGCTACTTAAGAGTCCTTTTTCTCCGGTGTACTCAATGCAAGTTGCTGTGCTTGCTTATACCAGCTACAGTGTAATAGGCAGTGTGGCCTGGCAGTTGCGTACACCTCTTCCGATAAAAAGAGGAAGTCGTAAATGATGAAGTTATAAAATAGTTTTATCTGATATATAGTATATGTATCTGGGGATTGGTGTTATGACTGACTGACTTTTCACATATTAGCAGGTAGAAGGATGAAGCATATTGTTTGTAACCCAGAGGCCACTTTAGACTGGCAGAAGTGTGCTTCCTGTCCTGGCAGGAAGCAGGAAGATAGTGATCTATTTGTTTTCAGCAACCACCTGCTTTCAATTATTAATAGCAGGAAAGAGAAGGTTCATATGGCAACATGGAGACTAATGATCAGTATAACACATGCATACTGGACGTGCTTGTGTCCAGTTTGCATGTGCTATGTTGATCATTATATCAGCCCTAGTTCTTAGTTTGATCCTTGAGGAGTTCTGCGGTAATCAGTTATTTATGAAGAACTTAGAACACCAAACAATAACCAGTACCAGCTTTTCATTGTAAGGATTTACTGATTTTCTCTGTGTCATATCTGTATAATTGAATATCTTGGGAGTTTCGGACAGTTAAATTTAAAATTGTGTTTTATATTCTGCAAGTTAAACGAACTTTGAAAAATAAATAGATAGATTCATCAGTAATTAAAGTAATATTTTTTCAGCCCCAAGAGGGATAGGAAATAGTGTTTCTTCCTTTACAACTCTACAATATAGTCATAACTTTGGACCTGTGATATAGAAACATGATCCACTAAAAACTGTTATATCTTGTATCAGATGCTACGTTCCACTTGTCTTCTGGCAACTCTTCTGTGAATTATTTGAAAGTAAGACTGGACATTTGATAAGGTGAAGCAGCATCTGATTTGTTTAACAAAATGTCTGTTGATGACTATTGGCTACTTTGTTGCTCCACACAGGTCAGGTCTAATGGGTGGGGTTTGTCGACTGCTGAATATTGTTTGTCAGAACAATGGGGTTTAGGGATTTTGGTAGCCTATATTGATTCTTATAAACTACAAAAGGGAAACTGGACACTCCAAGTTTTGATAAAATTAGTAAAAAATAAAATTGATAAAATAATTAAAAATGTTATATTAAACAAGAACATGAATTGCAATAAATTGTGCTGGTAAAATGGCCAGCCGAATGACCAACATATTCAGTAGGGATGATTATTCTTATGATTTAATTCTTCCTATTTACTACTCATATCGATATGGTAATGGTTCCTTTTGATAAGTGCGATTAAAAAAAAAAAAAAACACAACACAAATGTGAAGGGATACAGTGTTTGGCAGATACTGCAAGTTAGCTTTTGTTTTTATCTTGTTCACTACAATTTTCAATTTGACGTCAGCCTTACAAACTCTACATGGCTGTATAAAACACAACGGATAAAAATGGGCTCAGGAGTTGACTGCTGTTTAGTAGCACAATAAATACAATATAGCCATAGATTACTAAAACAGCCTAGGGCCCAAGGGGTCAGTATACAGCTAATCTAGAGCCTCTCTGTAAAATGTCAATAGAGAGGTCATAATAATATTATTTCCTCCTCATCCTATTTAAGAAGTATTTCTTCTCCCCATGAGTTTTGAGTCTTAAGTCAGATGTAATAATGTTTTTTAGAATATTGTCGTCCATTTATTTTTCTTCATATTATAACTACACAGGCTACAATAAGCCTATATTCAATTAGTTAAGCAGTTTATATATGTATATAAAGAATAGCTTTGCTTTAAGGAAACAGAACCTGTATCACAGTTTTCTTTTGTTGTTGTGTTGTTGTCGTATAACATTTTGTTGTGATGTTGTAAAATATTTCTGGGGATAAGTGACAGTGTGGATCTGCTGTGGCTTGAAGCTTTAAGAAAGATTTTAACAGTTTTGACCATCTCCAGCATCTTTTTATATAAAGCGTAATATCGTAGCTTTCTGACTAGCACAATATAGGCTAATGATGTTGAACTTCATTTCTTGTTGCATGTTACATTACCTTCATTTGTATAATATGTCTGTGTTAACTAGCTAACCAGCTTCAACTGTTAAAGCGGTTAGTGACACCCATCTCCAAAATAATATTATAAAGAAGATGTGTTGCCACACTTCATTATTGATGTCATAGTCTCCATCACAACTCTAAGTCTGTACAGTAAGGTTGTTTGATAAAAAGATCTATTTTATTATGCTGAAACCTTAGTGCATCGATTTAGTGAAATGTGTCTGGCAGTGGGTTGAGACAACAATAATCCTAAACTAACATCAGTTATATGTGATGTGTGATAAGTAATATTTGACTGGAGATAAAGAACATAAAACCTCCAAAGTAACAGGTTCCTTAGAGCAGATGTTTTGTTGTGTGCTTGTTGTTTGTTGATGTTAGCGGACTCAATTTCTAAGCTAATGGTAGCTAGTGTTGCAAACTGTTGAGGAGCGGAAGAGAAGCATTGTGGCAAGGCACTCTGGAGAGAACATAAGCTTTGCATCTTTTGGATTTTCCTGGAAAATTATTCAATAGAAATCAGTCCACAGGCTGTTATGGGCATCAGACAAGACAATGAAGGTCTCATTTTTTAATTAACATTGCAATCTGTTCACACAATAAAGAAAAGAATAATACATATAAATTTCTTCACATTCTTACATATAGTACCTTTAAATTCATTAAAGGCCAATAGTTTTGGTGTAGATAGGTTCCATATTCATTTTCCTTTTGTTTCCTTTTTTTGTGTAATAGATGAAAGTCAGTTAATAAGAACTAATGTCAGTATTTGCTCTAAGACTATACAATACAGATATCAAAATCTGTGTAACACAGATGAATTTTGTTGCAATCCAACATTATCCATTTTAAATAACATAAAGAACATAAAAAACACATATGCAAGATACGCAAAGATACAGACAAAATACCATATGTAACCATTATGATGGGAAGTTGATTTGAATACATTTAGTGATTTATGGGATTCATGTAAATTGGTCTGCCATAACTGACTCACAAAAACTTTGTGATCTAAAACGGCATCATGAAATAAAACAAAAACACATAAAACATGAGGGAAAATGTTGTTGGAAAATAAAAACAGCTTATTTATATGGACATATTCAAATAAAAACTTGAATGAACTAGAAATGACCTAAAATAAATTATAAATGAATTATAAAAAGGAGCAGGAAATTGGTTTAAAAATTGTATTGGGATTATTTCACAATAGCATGTTTATATGATATATTTTGCCAGTATTTATTAATATATTTACATATTTTATGATGCCCTATTTAGTTTATTTACATTTTTGGTCTCCACAGAATGTGATTAATTTGTACTTTGGAAATCATAAAAACAGCCTGTCTTGTCTCCAGCTGCTCCCATGATTGACGAGACGTCGCCTCAACACACAGTTGGATATTACAGTTTAACAGTTGACCTGTGGGAGTGGTCATGGTGGTGTTTTCACGGTAATTCTCAGCCCAGCCTGTATTTGTAACAAAAATTATGAAACCAGTGGATTAGAATTCTATCAAATTAGCAGGGCTACAACTAACAATTATTTTTATTATCAATTAATCTGCTGGTGTAGCAGCATGGTAGTGGTTAGCACTGTCACCTCACAGCGAGAAGGTTCTGGGTCCGAATCCCAGGCCTGGGGGCCTTTCTGTGTGGAGTTGCATGTTCTCCCTGTGCCTGCGTGGGTTCTCTCCGAGTACTCTGGCTTCCTCCCACAGTCCAAAAGCATGAACAATAGGTTAATTGGCGACTCTAAAGTGCCCATATGTGAGTATGTGTGCACAAGTGGTTGTTTGTCTCTACATGTCAACCGTGTGATAGACTGGCCACCTTTCCAGGGTGTAAAACTTGTGCTCTCTGGTGCATAAACTATGAATTGGAGACATTTGCCCCAGCTCCTGTTTACAATGAAACAGTAAAGCTGGTAGTTTCAGCTCTGCGTACAAACATGGGTTTGTGACATCAGAACTAGTTTGAGAACCAGTCATGGTTCAGTATGTAACTTATAGTGTGATGTGGAAACCTGAAACTTCCTGCACACAGGGATTTACATATTCATTGATTGTAGATGTTTCAATAAGGAAAAAGTGTAGATGTCATATGAAGACTTTAATTGAACTTTTTTGTAGTAAAACCACATCACATTCAAATATTTAGTTGGCATGGCTCTAAGGATGGCAGTGCTGGTGTGTCGGTCGGTCAGTCCACCCCTTTGGTCTGGACTGAAATATCTCTGTAATCTGCCTGATGCAGACGCCTCCTTAATCACATTAAACTGTTAGTCTTTAAATCCTGTTCCTATCAATGACAGGAATCATCAGACTCAGTGACAACACCCAAATGTCTTGCCTAAAATCAGTGTGCTGAGATAGTGTACTATAGTTTGCCCTTTTGAATCAATAATTAGGACCTTTGTTTAGTCCTGGTTTGGTTTAAGTAAATGTGAGGTCATCAATCCTAAATGAATGTCAGAGATGTTCAAAATCAGAAAATAACCCTTTTCATTTACATGAACTCTATACCATTTATCAGCTATTTATTAACACAGCATGTCACGACTCTAGCTTCACTAGATGGAGCTGTTACTCCAGGTGAAATGAATTGGGGATGTCAGTAGTGTAGTAGGTCATGGGCTCATAGAATTTGTCAGTTGTCTCATATGAGAAGTTTATTATAATTAGAGGTTAATGTATGTCTTTTTGTCTTTTGTATCCTTGCTGTTAAATCAGCTCTATGACTTTAAATTGACCTCATGTATGTCTTAATGCCCAAATCTGATCGTAAAGGCCTGTTGGTGAATATACTTTCCAAGAGTCACTGTTTGCTCAAGGACACATGCAGTAGCTGCTAGTGGATACACTTTCAGGCTGCAGCCATTCTGTTTTCAGCACGCTGTATTATTTGATTTTAGTCTCTGAGTTATTACTGTACTTGTTTGAACCTTTATTGAGAACAAATGTAAACTCAGAGCACAGAACATATACATGTGTAAGAACAAAAAAAGGAAACATGGTGTTAGAATGAAACCATAACATAATACAAATAAACCTCAGGTGTAAGAATAATGCAGAGAGCTGTTTGCATTCAGTAGAAATAAATTATTATGTAGCAGGAGACAGGACAAAAGGCAAAACTGGTACATCAGGTAAAGATGTATATTCAAGTAATTTTATTTAGCCTAATAGTTTTTTTTAATAGTTCAGGTTTTTGCTGCTTTTTTATTTTAGTTGAAACAGTAGTTGAATATAATTATCCAGAAAATCAAATTGTGGCGTCTTTATATTATACACACACTGCTATTAGCAGTGTGTGTATTACCTGAACCATCACAGATAATGAATGCAAAACAAACGGCTTAATGCCTGCAAGGAGATGGTGGTTTTTTATAACTGATATCCAGTAGAGAGTCAGGCTTTAAAAGCTTACCACAACACAGTGAATTCCTTCTCAGAACAATTAGATGCAGCAAAGGATTTAGTCCTTAAATTTTACTATAATCACTAGAAATGATGGTGAGAGCAAGTGGAAGTTGACTGTTTTACGCTTGTTTATACCTGAGGTGGATGTGCTATAGTCATTATTCTGGGGCAGTGTAACTTCTGCAAAAGACATCAGAAATACTCCACTCTCCTGTACACCCATGTACCATGATTATGTAAGGTAGGGTGGACAAAGGTGGCATGTAAACATTTCACAGCAGACCTGTGAAATAAGAATATGATGAACCTGAAAATGACCATAATATCGCTTTAAATGACTGTTCACACCATATCTCTTCCCTTGGATCCAAGACAAAGAAAACATTTATGTTAATAGATTTCAATTGACTATATCAGTGGTTGACATACAGCTGCCTGGGGCCAAACTGACCCCCCAACAGCAACAACAACAACAACAACAACAACAACAACAACAACAGTACTTGACCATGTTAGTTCAACATCTCCCTGCATGTTATTCTGTGATAATGTTGCAGTGATTAAATCTTCATCACTGTCTTTTGTGAAGAATAGTCACATTTTTGAGCCCTTGCCTCAGGGATGTTTGATAAAGTGTGGCAAGTTAGTTCTTCTGCTTGTTTGTTACAGTGGCCAGTGGGTTACTACAACAAAAGCTTCATCATACCATTACAAGAGAGACATCTGTACAGTTAAAAACAGTTAAAATGACACCTCAAACTGTTTTTACTCTTTGTAATGTAACTGTTCAACAATGAAGATTTCAAGACATGTGAATTAGTTTTTTGGCAGCTTTTAATATTTGTAAAGGGCCAAAGCTTAGACAGGATGTTTTTATGAACAAACTTCAACCTTCTATTGTAAATACTATAGATACACACACACCATAACACACAATCAGGATCACACACAGCAGTAACCCATGCATAGATTGTGTCAGCTTTTCAAGGCTGTATAATTCAGCTGTGGTGAGGAACCTCCGTCAAGCTGCAGTTGATCATGGAAAGTGACATATGAGCAAATCCTGTTCATTCTGACAGTTGTTCTGACAGTTTTTTTTCCCGTTTTGCCACGCTCCCCCTCCTGCCTTATCTCCCTCTTCTTCTGTTCCTTCCACTCCCCTGTTTCCTCACCTGGTTTGTGTCTTTTAGGTCTATTTACGATGACCAGCCCAATGCCCACAAGCGCTTCATGGAAAAGCTGGATGCCAGGATAAGGAACCATGACCGTGAGATAGAGAAGATGTGCAATTTCCACCACCAAGGCTTTGTGGATGCCATCACAGAACTGCTCAAAGTCCGCACTGATGCAGAGAAACTGATGGTAAGAGAGATTACTGTAAAGAGGATACTGGCCAGTAGAGAGATGACAATAGAACAGTTCGGTCTGTAACACACAGTGGCTGTTAAATCTAAAATATAATATAAAATAAAATAATTAAAAATATAAAAATATGAAAATATAAAATATAGGAAAACTAAAATATAGGGGCCATATGAACTCCAACCAGCTACTAACTGGATTGTCCGCAGAACCAAATTAAATATGGGTTTCTGTCATTGGGGCTGGTAGAGTGAGTATATGAGTAAATGATCCACTGCATCACTGTAGAGTAGTCGATGCTGGTACCTCCAAAAAAGGGTATATTTATCATCTTGGCTTACTTCAGTGCACTGCAGCACATTCCTCCCAAACTGGAGTGAAGATAATAGTGTGCTCAAACAGGGATTGTTGATATAGAAAATTTCCTCTATCACAGTATACAATGTATGATTTTCTATCACCATTGGTGGTGGTGGTATGTGGTATATTGTAGATTGTGACATAATTTCTTAGATATTGAGAGGATAGCTACTAAAATGCAGTTGACTGTGTGGCAAAATTTCCGATATAAATTCATATATTAAACTATATATCATCATATTGCCCATATTTAATGTCAAATGTAGCAATGAAATCTAATTATCATATAAAATGTTTGATTATTATTATTATTATTATATTATTTTCAATGAAACAATATTGTGTTGACAACACAACAGAGGTGAAAATGATGATGTAAATGCTGTGAGTGACTGAAAGTAAAATGTGTGGAGGTCAGAATGATGATAATCAGACTTTTAACATGATGATAACACCACTGCAGTGCTAGGTGCATGTATAGTATGTGTCACACTTTAATTAGGCCCTTTTTCTCACAGTAACTGTGTTCACTTTCATTTACTTTGTGAAAGCTAGTAATGGCAAGCTACATACAACTGAAATTACATCCAGGTAACTTAAAATGATCATTTGCCTTGTTCATTGCTGAATGTGAGACCGGGAACACACATGCTGTACACACCGTACAGCATGTGTGTGTGGCAGCTGCGGAATGTCTTGGTTTGCATTTCGGTGCCCATGCTAACGGGTCAGAGCAGACACTCTCCCTGTGTGACACATGCGTGAGACGCCTCATTGCGTGGGTGATCACATGACATGTGAAGTTTCCAGCAAAAACAGACAGAGAAAAGACCTGTTGATGTCATATTGACATCATACCAGCAACATAACATAAACCTGACACCTTTTACTATAGTTTCAATGTCTAGTCTGAATCTGAATATGACACAGACATGATGTTTTTTAACCATTTTAGCAGCTGTATGTGGAGACAGCAGCATTTTAGTGTCCCTTTCTATCAAAAATAAATCAGAAATGAATTTATAATGAAAAGAAATCCAACATTCCAGTAACGTGTAAACTCTATATATAGAAAGATAGAGCTGCAGTAGCAGTCCTTGCTCTTGGTGCATATACTTACCTTTGCAAGTACCAGTTATTAATTAACAAAAATTTGTTTATTAAAATCTTACACCTACAATCTGGTGGGTTAGATAAAACATAAGAAGCATTTCTGTTGGCTAATCTACTTTGAAGTCACAGTGTGACAAGCTAATGCATCTCTGTGGTCTTTGAGTTTGCAGGAATTAGTGTCTGCGAGTTACAGTATCTAATGAGAGGAGACACTGTGCCATAATGGAGAGGTCATAGGTTCTATTCCCTGGTATCTGACCTGTGCAGCCTTTAGCTGTTCTACAGTCTTGGTTAAGTTTCTAGCATTGTTACTTCACTCCCGCTCTGGTACCATACCCTTGCTGAAAGAAAGAAGAAGCAGTGATTATGTAGTCAGTCCCTTTTGTTTGAAAGCTTCACTGTTGAAAGGATTGTCATCAAAAAGCCGACTGGTCAATTGGGTCATGGTTCTCAGCCGTGTGACAAGAGCCGAGAGTTCAAAAATCCTCTTCCAGAATCGAGAAGTTTGTCACTGAATCTGTGAGAAAGAGCCTGTCACAAGCCATTAAACCCCATGAAAGGCCCAGTGCACCAGCGATGGGTTCAGGTCCCCACTGCCTGGTTAATCTGAATTTTCCTGCCTTTGTCCTTGCCCCTTCATGGACAATGAGCTGATTACAAGGCTGAGCAGCTGCAGCGAGGGAGGTAGAGAGGGAAAAGAGAGGGCAAGGAGGGGAGGGGGGGGGGGGGGGCGAGGACAGACAGATAGACACGTGACAGCATGTATGGCTGAACCAACACCGAGGTATTCANGAGAAGAGGGGGGAGGGGGGGGGGGGGGGGGGGGGGGCAGACAGAGCGAGGACAGACAGATAGACACGTGACAGCATGTATGGCTGAACCAACACCGAGGTATTCATACAAAAAGTCTTCAAATATCAAAAGTGCCCGAAAAAAATAGGAGTACTCGCTCAGAGAAAGTCATGGAGTAAAACCAAAATTTAAATTGAGTCTTATTCAACATTAACAGACCAATTAATATACCAATGATGCGTGAACATTTTAATTCTTCCAACTTGATCTTTAATTTGTGCAGCAATTTCAATATATACTGTATATCAACTTGCGAGATGCCTCAATATTAAAGCCAACTGGTTCCTACTGAAAAAAACATAAATCTTAAAAAATCCTCACATATATATATATATATATATATAGTTTCATATTTTAAAAAAAGACTTCTTCTACTTCCTAATCTCCTAAAACAGCTCTCATTGTAGTTAATAACAAAGGTTACTCAAACAAGAGGAAATAGGGCATTTGTTGTGGACAACTCTAAGTGGCAGATTGATCCCCGTTTGAGTATTTTTAGCAACAGACGTGTGTGTGTGGAATAAACATGTCACCCAGTGCAACAGTGTGGCCCCATTGATGTGTTTTTAATTAACAATTAACAATGGAGCTCCGTGGCTCAGAGGAACAAGACACATGGGATTTTTTGTTAATTGGAAAAAATATCAATATCACCAGACTTGTACTTGAAGGTCTAGATACAGTGAGTGGTGTGGAATTGTAAAATAAAAAAAATGTAGGAGCCATGAATTAAGAAAAATGAAATAAAAGGAAAGAATGTGAAGCCTGTGCAGTTAAACTGATGTTTGTGTTTGCTTTCAAAGGGTCAAGTGACAGACACTAATCGAAGACTACAAGAAGCCGGCAGGGAGGTAAAGCCACATATTCCTGTATGCATGAATGTACAGAAGACAAAAACAGTGCTTTTTATTGTGCTGTCATGACGTATGTGGGCTCGTTAACTGCAAAGACACTTCTGCATTAGACATGACCGTTCTTTAACCCAGCAGTTAAGAGTGGTGGCCTCTTTCTCATTGTCTCCCTCCACTGTGCGTTCCTGCCCTCAGGTGACAGCTCAGACAGAGGAGGTGATTTGCTGTCGGATCCAGCAGAGGAACATGGCCACTACTGTTGAGAAGCTCCAGCTCTGCATACCAGGTACCACTGCTGCTTGCATATCAGTGTGATGGTCACTTTAATTGTAGTACTAATGTGGTGTTAGTGTCAGTCACCTGACTGACCCCAGGGTGCCACTGGTCCTTGTACAAATACTTGTTCCTTGAATATGACCAGTTCAGCAAAGAGGAAATTGTGGGCATGTTGAATGAGTAGTGTTCCTTCTAACAAGACAAACAGACCCACGAGTATTTAGATTGTGGCCATGACAAGAGCTTATGTAATTCTTTAAACATGAGGGCTGTTTTACAGCTTGTCACCTGTAACTTAATGAGTGCAGGGCCGTAATTTATAAAAGGAAAGGAAATACTGCCCCTCCTCAACCAAATGATATCCATGACTGTGGAAGCTGACTACAGACATTTTGATGATTATCACGTTTTTTGGGACAAAGATTCCGAGATTCACAATGGTTTGTATCTGTGTAACAGGCTGGCAACTAAAATAACCAAATGTGTGATTTGAAGCTGTGTCCACAAGTTGTCATGAATTTGTTAGTTAAGTTAAAAAGTCTCTGTTACAAATGTGTTTGCTAGGAGCAAAACTGAGTAAACTGCTTGAACCAACACAGCCGTCTACTGACGTGTCTTCTTTGTCTTCTTTTGCAGTGCTAGAGATGTACAGCAAACTTAAGGAGCAGCTGGAATCCAAAAGGTATCCATCTCTCATCATCGTGTCATGATTATACCATAACATAAAATGTACAACTGCAATATTAAACACAGCTGGTTGGAACTTTGAAATCCTGAAGGTTTCCAGATTCTTAAAGACTAACTTAAAGACTAACTAATAATGCTGCTCCCCTGCCAGCTGGTGGTGACAGTGATATCTTACCGTGTGCAGCAGTAATGTACTGTAATAGCACCACACTACATCACAGCTGGGTGGTGGTTTCACCTACATCACACCACACCTGACCGCAGTCAGCTGTGATGTAGCATGGTATTGCAGTCCTACAGTACCTTACTGTTACAGGTGGTGTGGATAAAGCAGATTGGCAACACAAGTCAGGGGTGTGGCCAGAGGTTGAACAGACCTAGACCCCCCAGCCAATAGAAGCTACTGCAGCTTTTTTCCTTCCGAAATCTAGTGGAGATTTACTGTAATTTAACAGAGGCTGAAAGTCTTCTTTTTGCTGACCTCCACTGCTTCAAGAATAGACCCCGTTCACTTCTTTCATATTTTGTTATGTTGCAGCTTCATACCATGAAAAAGCAAAAGCAGAATTTTAGAAATCTAGGGAAAACAAGGGAAGACAAACTGGTTGGTCACATGATGAAGAGCAGCACAGTATCCACACTTAAACCCCACAGAGCTGGTTTGGGATGACCTGGACAGAAGGTGAAAGTAAAGCAACCTGCAAGTGACACACATTAGTGGGAACTTTTGCAACAGAGTTGAGACCAACTTTCTGAATAATGTTTTATTTCCATTATAGAAAGAACGTCACTGTGTTCGGCTGCTGGTTGAGTCAGAAATTTCGATTAAATATAGAAGATTCAGTGATTCGTTGATTTTGAATCTCCAGCTATCTATTTGTTTATTGCTTTAATGTCAGAAACATTAAGACATGTAAATGTAAATAACAGCTGGAAAAACTGAGGTGTTCTAAAGCTTATGACTAGTAGTGTATGCATCAGTTTCTGTCACATTTTATATCCCTATATATTTATCAATATCTCTCTTTTTTAAGTATTATTTTAACTAGCATTAGTTATTGTCACCTTTTTACTTAAAGCTTTAGAAATATATTCAGAAAATACAAAAACATAATCAAAGAAGTTTTAAGTTAAAGCCCCATGCTCAGTTCTATGGTCAGGTCAAACACGAAACTTTCAACCATAGAGGGCAGTGAAAGATCTGGTATGACCTGTTGTTAAGTTGCTTTTACTGAAACGATTGGCCAACTTTCCAACACAGAGCTTTTACCTAGAAAGCAAAGCTCTGTAATCTAACATCCTAACTAGACTGCAAAATCATCCAGTCTTCATGATGCAGGTTTCCTGCTGACTTTTCAACTCATCAACTGCTCTGCAGGTTTGATTGAACTTCATTTTTACCCCATGAACTTCATGTTTGGCCACATTTACATGCCTATCTGTATAAAGAGGGGAGGAGAGTTCACTTTAGACAGGAAAATAATGACCCTTTCTTGTTCATTAGTGTGTACCAAAGGAAGAGGCCATTACTGGCAGGACAATTGACCCTCAGTGTGCCCTTGTTCAGAACAAGGCCCCCTCACTTCAGCTCTGTCACGGCCCACAGCCAGTCCAAGACAATTAGACCATGCCGGCCACCTTATTGGATATGTGTGTGTTGTGGATACTTTAAGCAATAATGACATGGCCTATACTCTGTTACTGTATTGGAATGAGTTTGTATTGCCCAAATGCACATTATCGTCTGTACTGTATGCGCTGATGCCCAGGTCACATTCTGTTCAATTTCCTGCCACTTGCAGCCTTTGTGTCCTCCATCCTGGTGACCTGCACTCTGACAAACCTTTTCACTGTACAGTTTATGAGTCTGTCTTCTGTTCATGTGTATACAACACATTTTACACTCACTGACCGACCAATTAGATCCCTTCACAGCCTGCCTATCAGCCTAATGATGGGAGCCCAGCACACTGACCCAAGGCTGAACCCTTGTGATGTGTGCTTACTATATCAGACCACAACATCTTTATTACACAGGTTTCAGAATAGGCACAGACAATAAAATATCACACTACGGCAGCTAATGAACTAGATATACATACAGCTCTTTAATTCTGCTGTTTCTTAAAAGAGTTAAGAGGGTCTCCAAAGGGAGACTCAGAGGTTTTTGGTGTTTGTTTTTTTTGGAGCTACCATGAGTTTGTTTTAGATTATGGTATTACCAGCTAATTTGGAAACGTAACAGATAAGTTTAAGGCACAAAGTTCATTAGTCAAGCTAGTCTGGTTTAGATGGCAGGGAAGATATTTTTATTTTTGAGCGTTCTACTATTCGTCATGCCAGCAGGATCCTATTGGACCCTTCTCATTTGTTGAACTCTGAGTATGTGCTAATTAATTAAGAAGGAGATGCAGGGTCATACATATTTATAGGCAGGTCCTGCAGGATATACAGGAGCGTAGAGAGGCAGCTTTTCTCTGATCTTGTGTTTGTTTGTGAGCATGTAAAGAGAGATGTGTTTGTTTGGTGCTAATTTATTTACTAAGGTGTGTATACTTTGCGATGTGTCCCTAGAAATCTTGTAGTTTTTGACAGAGTTAATGATTTTGTGATTGATTTGTTTGTTTTTTTAGCCTAGTGTTTGTATGTGTACTCTTATTCTAGATCTTAATGTTGTGGTTTTTATGCAGCAGTTCCCTTAATCTGAGATCATTTTCTCCTATGGGAGACAGTAAAATTAACTTTGACCTTGAGGGGGTCTAAAGGAGACGACACTATCCCACCACATTTTAATACACTGGTCACAACTGTAATACATTAGTCTTAGATCCATCAGGTTCTTATTCTCTGGAGACGCAGGCACTTTAAGTTTTCTCAGAACACTGTCATGGACTTTTACTTCAACACTTGTTTTGCCACCGTTTCTATGCTTTCCTTTTATTAATAATCAGACAGCCTACTGTTCACTGAACCAAATTCAAAAGTAAACTTTACTATAGGACAGGTACACTATCTCTCAAGTCTGCAGTTACATTGGAAGGGCATTAGGAAGGGATCTGGGCAGTTTGAGCAATTTCAGGAAGCGAAACCTGTTTGCTTCCATATGGGCACCTGACTGTTGTAGTAAGACTGACATTATAATTGTTAGTGTCTCCTTCAGAAGTTTCATGAAAGGACCATAGCTGTGCCTCCTAATTGAAGCTCTACCATTTGTTTCTGCAGATACTATGCTGCGTTGAAAACCATGGAACAGCTGGAGAAGGTCTACATCCCCAGGTACGATTATAGCATCAGGGTATATGTAACTACATTTAAATTTGACAAGGAAAACAAGACGGGAAGAAGCAGTGTGATACCCACCATGGGTTCATTCATTCATTATTGGATTTGGTTAATTTCCCTATTGCTGTATTTCTTTTTCATACAAAATTAGATTATGTTAGTTTGAATTTGATAGTAGGCTTTAACCATACCTGGCATTAACATGCGTCTCCGATGATCTGAAGTGGACAGCTCTAAGTACAAGTGTGAATGCACCCAAGATGCATTGAGATCTGATTGCTCAGACCACATTCAGAGGTGGTCTTGGCCACATAGTAGTGTGTGTGTGAAGGTGTCCTGGATCACATTGAAGGACCGCCTGCTCAACTGATGTCCTCTTTGTAAGTGAAAGTACGACCTTATTCACACTCCACTTGATTCCCAAATCGTGTAAGCTAGCTTTGGCCACACTGTCTGGAGTTTTTGAAAAAGCCATAGAGACATATTATGGGTCCGTCAAACATCTTCTTCTTTTAATTCCCAGCAGACTAGGCATGGGAAGTTCACTGCATCACTCGAGACGCATGTAGAGATGCATTCTAATGCCTGATGTGAACTGAGGTACTTAGAGCTGTCCACTTGTGATTGGATCACCCAAGACGCATGTTAGTGCCAGGTGTGAACAGGTGCATACTTTTTAAAGTTGACAGAAGTGTATTGGCTCTACAGGGTCAGTCAGTACAGGTTCTGTCAGATCATGGCTGAAAACCTACCCAGACTGAGAGAGGAGATCAAGGAGATCTCGATGTCAGACCTCAAGGACTTCCTGGAGAGCATCAGAAAACACTCTGACAAGGTTGGAGAGACTGCCATGAGACAGGTATGACAGTCTGTGTTTTTAAAAAAAAACCCTCAATAGCTGTGAAAGGGTATTTCACATCTCACTAGTCAGTGTGGATGTCCCCCCAGGCACAGCAGCACAGGACCTTTAACAGCGCCGTGATGAAGCAGGCCAGCATGGGCCACTATGCCAAGCCTGTGTACTCCCTCAATGGACGAACTCACACTCACAACGGCCTGATGATGGACGAAGACACAGGAGATGAGGAGGAAGCAGATGAAGAGGTAAAGAAACATTGTGTGTATTTTAGTGTGACAATATGATAACACTAAAATGTGTGTGCATCTTCTCCACAACTGTGTTTTAAAGACTGTCACACACTGTTTAGTTCTGTCATGTGTAATGCTGCTCGATGTTTATAGAACATGCAGGTAGAGCTGTGTTTTTCTGCTATACACTGTAAATATCATGGCATGCTCAGTATTGAGTCCATAAATGTGTATTTGAGTTGTAATCAAAAGGGGAGTCTTTTCTTATCAAGAGCTTCCTTTCAGGCATAAATTCAGCAGCTCCATAAGATAATTGTCATAGCACTACACTGTATTTATTTTCTATGGTTAAGGTCATTTTAATAGTTTTCTACTTAATTTCATTAGTTGATGAATGCCTGTAGGAACAGCACTGTTGCATGAATGCAGAAGTCTTTGACGGTATAATCACATTTCTTCATATGTGTTTGACAGATTCTTACAGCTCAGGACCTGGTGGACTTTTCGCCTGTTTACAGATGTTTACACATTTACACTGTGCTGGTAGGTGTCTCTGCCTCTTACACACACACACACACACGCGCGCGCGCACACACTTATTCGCAAAAAAGTCAGAGCAATGAGTGACACAACTATGAATGGTAACACTGAAGTCAGAAAAGTGGTATAGCTGCATTATAATTCCAGAATTAAACATGATTAACAAAATACCTCATCACTGACTGTGGGGTGGCTGTGGCTCAGGAGGTAAAATGTGCCATCCACTAATCGGTCAGTGGTTCGATTCCCCGCCTGCATTTCGAAGTGTCCTTGGGCCCAAATTGCCCCCAGCATGTCATAGTGAATATGCATGTATAGTAGGAAAACAGCTATGTGTGTAGGAGATGTGTATGAATGGGTGAATGGGTGAATGTGGCTTCCATTGTAGTGGTCAACAGTGCTATATAAGTCCACTTACCCTAGAGCCAGCAAGCTCTGTACCGAAGGTTCAGTGATATGTTAGAAAGCAGAATGAACTCTAAGTTCATCACAGCAGAACAGTTACAGTGTCTTGATGTGAGGCTGTACATACTGAATACAATTTCTCTGTTCCGTTGAATCTCTGCTGATACAGTATACTGTATAGCTCAGAGAATATTAGATATATTGCTGCTATTAGCTAGCCCAGTGGAGGGCGCTCTAGGCACCTGTCATCATTTGGAAAAGCTTTATTTTTTTTAAAAATAGAAGAAAAAGAAGATTTAACCTCCACGGAGAAAGTTTTTGAAAAGTGACATTATTGTATTTTCAAATGTAGATGATTGTTTCTCCACTGTGGCATTTACACTTCTCAAAAGTCTATATTTAAAAAATAAGGACACTCTGGTTTGTAAAAGCAAAAAGAATCTTGAGCCAACAACTTCCCCTCAGTAACTTTATGGTTCATTGTGTTTGTTGTGTTTCTCTGTGTCTGCAGGGTGACCGAGAAACATTTGAGAACTATTACAGGAAACAGAGGAAAAAACAGGCCAGACTCGTGCTGCAGCCACAGGCCAACATGGTGAGGAACACATGTCATGAAACACACATGTCATGAAACACACACGTCATGAAACACACACGTCATGAAACACACACTTCATGAAACACACACGTCATGAAACACACAATTCATGAAACACACACGTCATGAAACACACACTTCATGAAATACACGTCATGAAATACACGTCATGAAATACACGTCATGAAACACACGTCATGAGACACACACGTCATGAAACAAACGTCATGAAACAAACACGTCATGAACCAGACATCATGGAACACACGTCATGAAACAAACGTCATGAAACAAACACGTCATGAAACACGTAATGAAACAAACGTCATGAAACAAACACGTCATGAAACAAACACATCATGAAACACGCGTCATGAAACACGCGACATGAAACACACATATCATGAAACATGTCATGAAACAAACACGTCATGAAACACGTAATGAAACAAATGTCATGAAACAAACACATCATGAAACACGTGTCATGAAACACGCGACATGAAACACACATATCATGAAACATGTCATGAAACAAACACGTCATGAAACACACATGTCAGGAAAACACACACGGCATGAAGCACACACCTCGTGAAACACACGCCATTAAACACACGTCATGAAACACACGTCATGAAACACACGTCATGAAATACACGTCATGAAACACGTCATGAGAGACACGTCTTGAAACAAATGTCATGAAACAAACACGTCATGAAACACACACGTCATGAACCAGACATCATGAAACACACGTCATGAAACAAACGTCATGAAACAAACACGTCATGAAACCCACATGTCAGGAAAACACACACGGCATGAAGCACACCCCTCATGAAACACACGCCATAAAACACACGTCATGAAACACACGTCATGCAACACACACGTCATGAAACACACGTCATGCAACACACACGTCATGAAACACACGTCATGCAACACACACGTCATGAAACACACGTCATGAAACACACATGTCAGGAAAACACACACGGCATGAAGCACACACCTCATGAAACACACGCCATGAAACACACGTCATGAAACACACGTCATGGAACACACACGTCATGAAACACACATCATGAAACAAACACGTCATGAAACAAACACGTCATGAAACAATCATGTCATGAAACACACGCGTCATGAAACGCGACATGAAACACACGTCATGAAACACACGTCATGAAACACACATATCATGAAACACGTCATGAAACACACACGGCATGAAGCACACACCTCATGAAACACACACGCCATGAAACACACACGTCATGAAACAAACACGTCATGAAACACACACGTCAGGAAACACACGGCATGAAACACACACGTAATGAAACACGTGTCATGAAACGCGTCATGAAACACACACATCATGAAACACACACGTCATGAAACACATGTCATGAAACAAACACGTCATGAAACAATCACGTCATGAAACACACGCGTCATGAAACACACGACATGAAACACACGTCATGAAACACACATATCATGAAACACACACGTCAGGAAACACACAGCATGAAGCACACACCTCATGAAACACACATGTCATGAAACACACGTCATGAAACACACACGTCATGAAACAAACGTCATGAAACACACGTCATGAAACACACGTCATGAAACAAACACGTCATGAAACAAACACGTCATGAAACAATCACGTCATGAAACACACGCCATGAAACACACATATCATGAAACATACACGTCAGGAAACACACGGCATGAAGTACACACCTCATGAAACACACACGTCATGAAACACACGTCATGAAACACACATATCATGAAACACACACGTCAGGAAACACACAGCATGAAGCACACACCTCATGAAACACACATGTCATGAAACACACGTCATGAAACACACACGTCATGAAACAAACACGTCATGAAACAAACACGTCATGAAACAATCACGTCATGAAACACACGCCATGAAACACACATATCATGAAACATACACGTCAGGAAACACACGGCATGAAGTACACACCTCATGAAACACACACGTCATGAAACACACGTCATGAAACACACACGTCATGAAACACATGTCATGAAACAAACGTCATGAAACACACACGTAATGAAACACGTGTCATGAAACGCGTCATGAAACACACACATCATGAAACACACGTCATGAAACACACACGTCATGAAACACACATCATGAAACAAACACGTCATGAAACACGCACGTCATGAAACACACAAGTCATGAAACACACAAGTCATGAAACACACATGTCATGAAACACATATTTATGAAATTCAAAGAACCAAATTAAATTTGTTGTCGATACCAGGAATGAACATTCCTGACTTCAACTCTCTCCTGTTGGACAAAATATTTCAAATGAAGCTGATTGGACTGTTGAATTAATTAACAATGGGCATTGTTAAAAGTTATTTATGGTCAATTCTTGCATTAATCTGTTGTGATTTGGATGTTAGAATTTCACTGAAGACACCAACAATGACAAAACAATCCTTGCTCATAAATGCAATACCACACAATGACAACATATATAATATATCATGCATTTGTGCACTGTGTGTAAACATGGTTTTTTGTGTGTGTGTGTGTGTGTGTATCCAGCATGAGACAGTGGAAGGGTACAGAAGATACTTCAATCAGATTGTAGGGTAAGATGTTCCTCATTTTCACTTCATTGTTAAACAATTTTACCTTGAACATGACATTCTGCTGACAGTCAGTGGGTTATGTTTGTTTCACTGTAGATATATTGTCAATGAAAGTATCGAGATGTGTGTGTTTTGTGTGTGTGTGTGTGTGTGTGTGTGTGTGTGTGCGTGTGCGTGTGCGTGTGCGTGTGTGTGTTGTGTGTGTGTGTGTGTGTGTGTGTGTGTGTGTCATCAGGTTCTTTGTTGTGGAGGATCATATCCTTCATGCCACACGGGGGCTAGTGACCAGAGCCTTCACTGATGAACTGTGGAACATGGCCCTGTCCAAGATCATCGCCGTGCTCCGCACACACTCTGTAGGCTCTCACACAAACACATACATGAACACATGCACACACAGCCAACAGGGCGTTGACTTTGAATGAGGAGACTGTTGCGAGTTAATAGAGATAATAGAGCCTGCTGTGGATCTATTTATCCTGCAAGAACCTTCATTCACTGGCTCTCACACACACACACACACACACACACACACACACACACACACACACACACACACACACACACCACTGTGGAGGTCAGTGCACCCACAAACCCACGAATGATGTCACTCTAAAGAGAAGAGGTCAAAACACACATACGCATGCAGCCAAAGAGGAGGTCATTGGGGCCTTAATGAGAGACAGATTGCAACAATAACAGCAGATTAAGAAGGCATATTCCTGACTGCTGGGTTCCAGTCAGTTGTAAATGACCCAGAGGATTATGCTAACAGGCTAGAAAATGGGCCGCACAGCGTGAGGTGAGAAGACTAACAAAGGCCCCATGTCTCCCCCCTGGCTTGCAGCCCCTCTGCTGGGCCACAACGCAGCAGGCCACAGTGCCAGGTTCCTGCACTTACAGCCTCTGTATGATCAGACCACAGAGGGAAGACCCTTTCACTAATATGCCCATGAGACAGTCACTGATAATTTACTATGAAAATATGTTGAATTTTGTGGTAACTACTGTTACCAATTGTGTTCATCATTCACACAGCAAATTAACAGAACACACACAGAAAACTAACTGGCTCAACATGGCTAAAAAATCACATCATATTCATTCATGGATCAGAATATGGCAGCTATAGACTAATAAAACTGATGCGATACGTTCCTGTCACTGCTGTGGTTTGCTTCTGTTAAGCTGGGCCTCTAGCTGATTGTTGACTGTATGTGTGTGTGTCTGAGTAAACAGAGAGGCAGGCAACTGCTGCTTTACATCAGATCTCAAGTTGTGTTCATTTACTCCGTTGATTTACACACTCTTGCGCTTGGCAGGATCCTTGTGTCAGTGGTAAGGGACTCAACTGTTCTGCTTTCAGGGTCATAAATCACTCTGTACTCCAGAAAAATAGAGGGACTTAGTTAGCTAGTGTTAGTGTTGAGTGACCCTTGGCTAAACCACTCCCCCCTCAGTTACTGTTGTTATGCCTGTTGCGCTTTCTATTCTGGCACTTCATGTAGGACATTTACAAGGATAACTGTGTCAATTTTGATTCTTGAAATCATTTCCAAAACAACAAAAGTCAGTCAGTCACTCACAGATGTAGAAATGCACAGCTGTATTATTTAGCAAATGTAATACATGCATTGTTGGACTGTTAGCAGCAGTTGTATACATGCCATGGACACTCATTTTTTTAATTCCATTTGGTTGAATTTTTGAGGGCAGTGTAGAGAGCATACATTTCACACTCAGAATTCATGCTCTCATAAAGTGGTGCATACGTGTGACAGATTAAAGGAAAACCAACATAAAGTGTCTTAGTGAGGTGTTGGGCCCCCACATGCTGCTGCTTCACTGCTCCTTGACATTGATGCTACAAGTCTCTGAACTCTACTGGAGGGAAGAATAGGTGGTCAATTGGATTGAGATCTGGTCACTGTGAAGACCATAGCACATATTCCTACTCATCAAACCATTCAGTGACCCCTCGTGCTCTATGGATGGGGGCATTGTCATCCTGGAAGTGATCACTCCCATCAAGACAGAATTGTTTCACTGTAGTATAAAGATGTTCCCTTAGAACAACCTTGTTTTGATTTGCCTCTAAAAGGACAAATGGGCCCAAACCATGCAAAATGACCCCCCAGCATAACAGAGCACCAGATCCCCTCACTGTAGGGGTCAAGCATTCAGGCCTGCGCTGCTCTCTTGGTGTACGCCACAAATGCACTCACCCAGTTGTGAAGAATATAGTGAGAATTACTCAATCAACCATGACACTTTTTTCAAATCTCTGTTGACCAGTGCCACTGAACTCTCAGATGTGCATTCTTCTTTGTAATGAGGGGTTTATGCACAGATGCTCTATCCCTCTCTCTGTAACTTGCTAACACAGTCTGATCACGTCCTGCATTGACATTCTCAGTCATCTGAGGAAGAGCTGCTCTTCTGTTTTTCTTATATATCTCACTAATGCACAAGCATCACGGTCATCAAATTGCACTGTTGATCACAATGTCCAACCCTATTTACTGACATCTTTCCCATAGATGTAAATGATATCACTTTTGTCACTGTTCCTGTTGAAACCCTAGTCAGTTGAGCATCTTTGTGACTGAAGCTCCATCTTGATACAAAATCAGAATTAACTGGGCCTGCTCAGCATTTTTATACCTGCCACAGAGCATGATAATGCACCTGTATGGAAGCATCTGAATTGGTTAGGTTTCTCCACACATTTATTCAGGTTTGTCCTCTGATTTGTCACCATCTGTAGATTTTTAGTTTCTGAGCATCAGTTTTGTCAGATGAAGTGCCAACTGCTGCTGGCAGAGTAGCAGCAGCTTTGGCAGCTATATCTAGCCAATTAACGTGCTCCAGTAGACTTTTTAATGTCTCTGATTGACTTATTGGAGAATAAGAAACCTTCAAAAGTATCTTAAATATCTCCATAATTGGGTTGATGATGTTATGTTAACTCAGCGTCGTATAAAGAAGGACGCTAACATGTCCCAGGCAAATGTTATCATCCTCACCAATAGATGAGCCATGGAGAAGAGATAGAAATAAAAACTGAGATGTTGCTGTATTGCAAGTTACATCACATTGTTACAGTAGAGGCTTTTCTCACGTAATAATGTACTTAGCTAATAATGTGCAAGTTACTAATTTAGTTGGTAAATTAGTTAGCCAGGCATGCTAAAGTCAAACACAGTTTTAGGAAAGTGATATAAAAAGACAGCACTCTCCAACCTATTCAGATCCAACAGTCATTCTTCAGGGGAGGGGGTTCACAAATAATCATTTGTTTTTTTTAAATGATGAATTCACAGAAACCATTAACACAAGCTCTGATACTGGGAGTGGAAGAGATCGTGTTCTTTTTATTTTACTTTTTAATGTTTAATTCTCTGTGAATTAAACAACACAGTGTTTTACAAATCTCATGAACATTTCTGCATAAATGAGTGCCATGTTATTGTTGTCGCTGTTATCATAGACTATTATTTTTATCTCCAGTCTTATTGTGATGATCCAGACCTGGTCCTGGAGCTGAAGAACCTCATAGTCATCTTCGCTGACACACTACAGGTTGGTCCAGAACAGGTCTTCATTTGAACAGCTTGTGACTCTGAAGTGTGGAACAACTGATATTAACACACTTGGTTTTCTGTGATGTCTGGGTATGTATGTACAGGATTATGGTTTCCCAGTGAATCGGCTGTTTGACCTGCTTTTTGAGGTCAGAGACCAGTACAATGAAACTTTGCTGAAGAAGTGGGCGCTGGTTTTCAGGTGGGATTTCCTAATGTGTGACTGAAATCTGCTGAAAACTTTTAGAACCCTTGTGTCAAAGAGAGAGAGAAATTCTCAAAGCTCTTACACTACAAATGTAAGTGTGCACGGACCTTAAACAGTGTTCTTTTCCACAGGGAGATCTTTGAGTTGGATAACTACAGTCCCATTCCAGTGGAGACTGAGGATGAGTATAAACTGGTGGTCAGCCGCTTTCCCTTCCATGATGCTGAGATAGAGAAGGTAACGAGTTCCAGGACTATAGACTCACAATCCTATACATCCAGCGAGACCTCTATCTTCAATCACTGAATTGCACATACATATTGACATGTAAAAGAAATGCAATGCAAAATAATAATCATCACAAAAGAGATACATTTCTATATACATTTCACGCTCCCATATAATAATTCTGCAATGCCCCCTCCACCACAACCTATTACCCTCTTTTAACTTCCACATCATTTATATTCATACAATCATAACCATGGAACATCTAAGAAAAAGTCAACACAATAATCATGCAGTTATAATTCAAAGGAGCTATTTGTAAGTTTTGTTATTGCTACATAGCTTACGTTAGCATTAACAGCTGTTTATTTACCAGTCTAGAAGAAACGTTGTGAGTTCAACATCAAACTTCATTCCTTTACTCTCCAAGAGCTGTCTACAGAGGTGGAGAGCAACTTCTGTCTCTATCACTCCTTTTCTTCTCCTGAAGTTAGCATGCTAACCAGCTAGCCCCGGCCCATATCGTCACTTTCTGATAGCGACTCACTGTAGCCTGCAATCTGCCCTGAAGACATAGCGCTGCTCAGAGGTTATATTATGACTTCTTGTCTTGTAAACACAACAAATGCTGAAGCTCTTGTCAGTGACAATCACTACCACCTGCTCCTGGCAAGAAGCCATGTTCAGCAGCAGAGAAAACTCACATATTACATAAATTTGATCTGTCTTCTTATGGGATTCTAACAGCACTCTGACATTGGATTAGAGTGTTTTGTAGAATGAAATGGGGGGTTGCCCGTGTATCAGTTTATGTGAACATAACAAACATTTCTCCAGAAGCAAAGTAATACAACTTTAACTTAATTAACTTTGGTGTTTTTTAAATAATGAGTCAGTCATTTATTGTTGTTGCTTTCTGTGTTTTGTGAATGTGTGTATGTGGGTGTGTGTCTGTGTGCAAGCAGCAGGACTTTCCTAAGAAGCTGCCGATGTCCCAGTCTGTCCCTCAGATCTACACACAGGTCAAAGAGTTCATTTATGCCAGCCTCAAGTTCTCTGAGTCACTACACCGCAGGTAGGTCACTGTACAATCACTGTTGCTCAGTTTCAGTTTATCGAGATGGATTCCCTTGTTTTATGTCTCTTTGTTGTGTAACTCTAGTGTATGTGCAGTTAATTGGTCATTTTGTTTGTGTATCCAGTTCAACAGAGATTGATGACATGCTGAGAAAATCAACCAACCTGCTGCTGACAAGAACACTCAGCAGCTGTCTGCAAAACCTCATCAAGAAACCTCACATAGGACTGACTGAGGTGGGAACAACACTGCTGTTACACCGCGGACTCACCATCCAAACCGAAGGCTTTAGTCATTCAGTCTAAAACTGTAACCTTATGTCTGTAGCTGGTGCAGATCATCATTAACACCACCCACCTGGAGCAGGCCTGCAGGTATCTGGAGGAGTTCATAACAAACATCACCAATGTCTCCCCTGAAACGGTACACACCACAAGACTCTACGGCCTGTCCACATTCAAGGTAAAACATGAATGAAGTGCGGATTCTTTTTTGTGTCTTCATTTGGTCTTTGTGGTAATTACACAGTTTTTTTTGTTAGAATGATATGTCCTGCTTTTCAGTATTTCCTCAATCACACAACAAGGCCCAGAGGGTTCTATATGCATATTATTTCCTTTGTCCTTGGTGCTGGAATTGAACTCTTGACAAGTCACACAGCTGCACTAGTTTCTGCTCTCACTGAGTTCTGGTCATATACTTACTGAACACCTGTACACCTGCTCATTCCTGTTTTGGGGAATACTACTGCATATGTGAAAAAGTTGTGTGGCTCCAGATGGAGCTGTGAGTCTGATAGGTGAGGTCACCTGAGTCAGCCTGTGCTGGGTCTGAATGACAAGTTTGAAAATGAAAAATACCTTGAGGAAGTGAGCTCACCAGACCTCTGTAGCCCGCTCCTTGTCTCTGCTTGAAGCTAGAGGCTTCAGGCTGCATTCGCTGTGGGTGGTCGAGTTGCATTGTGGGTAATGTAGGTAGCAGGTTTTTGATGGCTGTATTAAGAACTGGATACTGTGTTCAAAGACAGTGCACAAATAATGAGAGTTACTCACTGGACTTGTAGGCTGAAAAGCCTCCATGAGCTTCCTCACAGTTTTGCGTTGTTAGCCTCAGAGAGCATGCTCAGTACAGGCTTCAATCAAGCCAGTTGACAGCATGCGCTGACACCTCTGTGGACTCTGTGTTGGTTCCCCCAACACATGTACCTAATGAAATCATATGGCTCTTCCAGACTTTTCAAATGTTATTGAACTGATAATAAAAAGACATTTGGGGGGGGTTGTGATACGTAAAAAAAAAGAGTATTCATCATTTTAAGCCTTTTTTCCAGTGATTATGAATGGGGGAAAATGTTTTTTGGGCCAGTGAGTGTCACATGATGAACATGAATGTTGCAATACCCAGTGTGGCTATTACACCAGAATTCCCACAGCCCAGCTCCACCCCTCAGAGCTTGGTTTCTTCTACAAGGAAGAAGAATCCATGGATAAAAAAAGATAAATGCAATGATAAATCAGAGTGCTTTTTTAAGGACTTGTTGCTCTGACAAATCACAGACAGTCACATCTAGCTATTGTGTATTGCTCTTCAAAGAGATCTGGGTTTCTCCATTCCAGGATGACTGTAGGTAAACTGCTTTTAAAACTGTATTTAGTTGTATTAAGTCTTGTCAAAGGGGCTAATTAAAGAATTTTTCCAGGATGCTCGTCACGCCGCAGAAGGAGAGATTTATACCAAACTCAACCAGAAGATCGATGAGTTTATCCAGCTGGCAGACTATGAATGGGGCATGGCTGAGTCGGACGGCCGTGCCTCTGGATACCTCATGGACCTGATCAACTTCCTGCGTTCCACCTTCCAGGTCTTCACACACCTCCCGGTGAGTCTGATCCTCCTGCTAACTTTGACCCATTGAAGCTGCCGCCTCTCTCTGGGAACTGTGGGACATTGTCTTTTCTTTTTTTTTTTACATTCATTTAAGCTATAAATAATAGAGATGCGATAATTCCTTAGTTTCTGTCTCCTTTTCATTTTCCCCAAATCCCCAACTGTGTTCTGATGTTTTGCTGTGTTCACTACATCCCTATTAAAGTGTGTGTACAGTCTGAAAGTGGATTGTTTTCATTGTGAGTTTGAAGTTGAGTGTGTTGCGTTGGTGGTCTGTGCATATGCATGGTAATTGTGCTGTTACTGACTTGTAAACTGCTTGTGCGTATCTTCACCTGAAAGAGGCAGATTCAGTGACGTAGCAGAGTTTGAAGGACTTGGTCAGTAAACGTGTTCTGCCCAGATTGCTGTCAGCTACAGTCGGTTCAGCTGTGGGCCACCTGCCTGCTCTTCTCTCCAACATCTCTTATCACGTCTTGAATTAGTTCCATTTTGCTTTTTGTTTTTCACGAATGTCTTTGGTCTCCCCATCTGCACCCTCTGTACTGAGACAGCGCTCTAACTGATTTGTTTTACTCCTTTATTATGTTGACTTGTAAAGCATGCGAGATATCGCTAGTTGAATTTACCTCCTCCTGTCCATTTATTGTTGCCACATTTCTTTTCCTGTCCTTTCCCTCCTTCCCTCCCCCTCTTCCATTTTTGCTTGGTTTGGGGGTGTCTCTGCTCAGAATAACAACAATGACCATGCGTCGATGTCGGTGAGTATTCCTGCCTGGCTGTTACAACACTTTGCTGCCACTGTACAGGCAGGGGGGAGATGAAAAGCATGCTTATGTTTGACTGTGGAGGCTCCACTACTCTAGACTCGGTTCGTCTGGGACTTTTTGAATGGAAGACACTGTAGGACAGTGTTTACATGAGCATTTTAGCAGAACATTTGCAGAAGGTAGGGTTCTATAATAGCTTCTTGATGCTGCTCAAGAAAACTAGCAAGAAAGTGAATTCAACTTGTGAATTCAGTTATTTATTTCTTTTTAAAACTGCATGTTCACTGCAATTAATTTTGAATTTTCATAATTATCTTAGGAGTCCATTAATGTGTGTAAAAGATGTACTTATTGACTATTTTGTTTTTATAAATCCCTTATTACTTTCAACTATTTATTATTTAACTAAGACATTCATTTTTAAGATAATTTATTTATCCAATTTATTTATTAATTATAATAATTTATATTAATTAATATCAGTTAATGAAATGCTTTGTAACTATTTTATTTCCATGACACATGCGTCCTCCATAGTAGGGCAGTGTGTGATTATGAACTCATCCTCTGGAGCTGGATTTGGATCTGACAGATCATCCAGTCTGCCCCCTCCTCTGTTACTTTTTTGTAGTTTAGCATTCGTTCTCTTACATCTTAGGTGTAATGTAGATGTAGATAAAGTAGATTAATGGAATAAAAGCGTTCTGGTCATCATCATTTATATCCTTTGCTGGTTTACGACGCCATGGTACAGTTTGTGTCTGTCTAAGTAGAAGCAGTCCGAGTAAAAGCATTCTTCACATACTTGCTTTGAGGAAATGCTCAGCCATCAGTGGTGGTTTACACAGAGAAACATGAGACACATGCATGACCTTGAGTGGGAAAAGTTGTAAACGTTGCTGTAATTTCCATTTGTCTTTTTTGCAGCTTGCTGCCAGAGCACCAGAGCTGCATCCACACTAATTTTGGAAAAAGTCACCGGACTAGTGCTTTTAGTTTGTTTTTATGAAGCTGTCTATCCACATTTTAGTGCAGAATAACAGTGTAAAAGTTTGTCCTCAGAGTCTCATTACACCTTTAATTTATCCAAACTCATGATTTAGTTTGTTTTCTGAGAACTGAACAAATAGATAAACATTGATTTGACTATGGGTCATAAATGCTGGCACATGAAGAATACCTCCTAGGTTGTTGCACTGAGATGTCAGTAAACATAAATCCAGTTTACAGCAATATACTGACATTTAAGATGAGTGATCTCAGAAAAAAGAATCAGGGGCTGTGTCCAACAGTTCAATTTTTGAAAGACAACAAGAATGTCCGCTTTACACAGTGATTGGTCAGGTGTGCAGGCATGAGGAAGTATGCACGTTTGAATTTCTCTCTCAAGCTTCCTTCATTAATTTTTCACACAACAACTTCAGTCACTCTTCATGTGTTTAGCGAAGTGCAACGCTGTGAATTCCTTAAAGAAAAGATGGGAATTTTTTGTATTTCTCCCCTCTATATGACAGCATTTTTTCTCCCTACCGTTAATAGTGGCCACTTAGAACAGGTAGAGATATTTTTACCTTTAGATGTAGTTGGATGTCACATTATGTAATTTGAATTATTAGAAGCATAATGAGACTTAGAGATGCAAATATCTATTCACATACAGATACTTATCCTATAATTCTGAACAATTCACAAATGATAATGTTGGTTAACAACATGTTGACAGAATGAAAAGTGTGGAACCACAAGGGTGGTGCAGTCGGGCTAACACAGACTGTGTGCAATGTGCAAATACTATCGTAATCCTGTAGTTTATCTTCAATATAGGCAGAGGGGTTTAATTATGTAATAATGAACTGCTTTTCAAGAGAAGGGTCAAGTATTTTGTGAATAGTAATTGTAATTATGAAACTTTGGCACAGTGAGAGATAGCCAGAATATAGAACCAAAATATAGAAAGTTATCTTCCTGACATTACTGTTGGACTGTCGCCAACCAGCTCATTTTCAAAACGCTCATGTTTCAGGCGTCATAAATGGTGGCATAAAAGGTGTCATAAGCGTGGATAGAAGGCAAAACTTAAAATTACATTTTCAAATTCAGCCTAATTAGTGTGGATGTACTCTGAGTGTGAGCAGGGGCTTCCTTCTGTGGACATTCATAGAGATCAGGGCCTTTTCCTCAGTGGCACGTCTCTGTGTGAACGGCCCCTGAGTTGGCTACAGGTCTACCCAGAGACAACAATATGCTTGTGTGATCTAAAAGATTTGGAGTCAATAGAGTGAGATGTGATAGCTACTCGTTTAGAGTGAAGCCACGCAGCCTTCACTGCTGGCAAACCATGTATCACTGCTGTCTGTCTGCTGGTCAACTGTCAGCATGAAGAATATGAACAGGGATGTTGTGGAGCTCAAACAAAGGAAACCAAACGCTCACATTGACTTTTCTTATATCATTCCTCTGTGGCTTAATGTAATATGGCTTATGTAACTGTGTATTTCAATAAGACTGCTGGTGGCATTTTCCTTGAAGTTGGGGTCACCACATCATCCCTGTGAGAGTTTTTGCATGAGTATCTGTGAGAATGGATTGTGTTGATCTGCTGTTCTGTCCCTGTTCCCCACAAACACTAACTGTAATTTACTGACCTGCTCAGTTAGTGTTAGTGTTTCAGACATTTGAGTGAAGGTGTTACTTACAGGTGTTCCACTTGTTTCAAAGTGGATCATAAGTTAAAACATACCTGCTCACAAAATCAAGAAAACCTTAAGTAATGGAAACGCTCACAATTAGTTTACATGCTCTGGAGTGGAGCGTTATATGTGTTTACTTGCTGATTGAACTGTTGTGCCTTACCTGCATGTGTTGGCCTATCTGGTTTTTGTTATATGTGTGATGTTTAGCAAAGAGCACATCTTGGGAAATTGATAGCACCATTAATAGTCTTATATCTTTCAGTGACAGATTTTATGATGCAGTGATCAAAGCATGTTTTAGCAGATATTCATGGTAAGATGAGAGATGTTGACCGAAGAAAACATCCAGTATAGATCGCAATTGTTTTTATGTGGATTTTCATTATATAGTAGCTCTTTAGATCAGGGGTTGGGAACCTTTTAATTAGGTTAATAGCATATTATACAGCTGTATACCACAAACCTGTTCACTGAAGCTTTACTTACTTTACTTTTACTTTTACTTTACTTTTTTAGTCATAGGTAATTCCACTTGTCTTGTAATATGCAAATGACTCACAAATGTATATTGACATTCACTGTGATTGTCATTAAGTCAGAATATCACTTGTGGTCATCAGTGTCATTTTGTGTTTTAATTCAATCCAGCCAAAAGAAATTATAAAAAACACATCTATGACTGAACAGCAACAAACCCATGTGAGATTTTAATAACGAGCTTAAAAGGTCAGTTCACACAGACATTTGCCAATGTTCTCCTGGTGGTATTTAGCCATGCCTAACCATAAAGTGATAGTTCAGGTTATTTGACGTGGGGTTGTGTGAGGTACTTATCTAAAGTCAGTGTATTACCTGCAGTAGATTTGGATCTACAAGCACAAACACACCTAGACTTCGCTCTGTCTGACTCAAACAGCTGATCTGCAGAGTAATACAGTGCGTGCCGTAGGTGTGCTTGCGCATAGTAGTATGGTAATTCAAAGGTTCACAAACTGTAGTTCCACAGGAAAGGGCTCTTCGATGGCAGATGAAATGGTGAAAATATTCAAAGTAAAGCATACACCTAAACTGATTTTAGTTTTTTTCTGTGGACATGTTTTTAAGTGGCTAAAACAAGTTTTTTTTTGTTTGTTTTTTTATGACCCCGTCTAAACTGGCAGGGCACTGATCTGAATCTACTGCAGGTAATACACTGACTGTAGAATAATACACAATCCTATGTCAAATAACCCAAATTATCACTTTAACTTTGAAAGAATTTAACTACAAATTAAAGTCCTTTAACCTCCCACTGGCGGGGCAGGAGAAATCTCACAGACAAAGCTCACATAACAGCACTCTGTGGCGATAGATATCACCAGACGCAAGTGAGGACATATATTTTTAAAACTAAAAAAAAATTTTATTAAAACTAAAAATATAAATTGCATTCCTGATCTTCTTTCTTAATCTTAACAGATACATCACTTCTCGTTCACATGTCCTCTGCACACTGCACACTTCTGCTTCATTTATCATCAACTTTTGCACCAAAAACATGGACTGTTTCAGCCATTTTGTCTCTGTTTTTCACAGATTGACCTTATCATTGTGATTTGTATTGACACTTTGCATGACGTTGACACAAATCCCTGCTTTAGGATTCCTAGTGTAGAAACTGTGCATGTAGTGAGTGCTTCACTCATGTGCTGCCCTTGCTGAGGATACGTCTCTCAGCATGTTTGCAGCAGTGGCTCTCCTTTTGGTTTGTTTGCGGTTCCAAACAGACTCATCTTGTTGGCAATCAGCTGTTCACTTTGCCAGAAAGCATTCATGACAGCAGACAGATGCAAGACAAAAGTTTGCTCTGTGTTCAGCCTAAACACATTAAAGCCCTGTCTCACCAGACAGCAGAGTTCATCTGAGAGGCTTCACTCAACTGGTGCATCTAGAATCTGAACCACTTCAGCTGACCAGCTAAGTGCACTTTAGCTTTCTCTGCTTTGGGCTCTCTGGCTGTCCCAGCACTGTCAATGTGGTTTGCAGTTGTATAAATAAACGTTAACATACTTTGTCCCTGGGAGCAAATCTGCTGGTCACAGCAATTTCATTGTAACTAATTGATATAGCTGCAAAATGTCACAGTTTTTCCATCTCTTTCTGACAACATATGATATTTGACAGTTTTACCCATTGAGAAAAGCACCAAAATTGTTTCTTTAGCCTAATCCAATGCTTGTTGTGATTACTTCCAGTGTACTGGACTTTTTTGTCAAGAATAGCTTCAGTGATAGCTACAGTATGCTGCTGTATGTACAGTGTATTGTGTTATAGACAAGTCATTGACTGTTCTCTACTCTGTCCAGGTGGGGTTTGGCAGCTCTCATATTCTCTCATCACAAAGACAGTTTGTTGTTAATGAACTTTTCAAAAGTATCTGTCAAAAAACTTTAGGACTCACAACCCGTAGGTTCCTGACCCCTGGGCTAGAGAGTAGATGGTGTGAAGTGTGTGAAGATAACAACTAACACTGAATTATTTTTTGCCCTCCCTGCTCTTTATCCCCTATACCTATTTTTACTCCTGTATCTTCCTCCTCTGGACCTTCTTCCTTCTTCTGTTCTGTCACCATTTAACCTTTTACTCTCCTGCCAATTGCTTCACACAATCTCTTTTATACCTTTTTCCTCTCCTTCTTTTTCATTTCCATGCACAATCCCTCCCCCTTTTTATTAATGTCCACCCCTTTCTATGACCTCATCCCAACTTACCCTGACTTCTTCTCCTCATTCTCCATTCTTCTCATCCCCATCCTAATCTTTCCTACCCCTTTCCATCTCTCTCCTCTCTCTTGCCTCCTCTCTTCGCCCCCCTCCCCCTGTCTCTCTCTCTCTGCAGGGTAAAGTGGCCCAGACAGCTTGTATGTCGGCTTGTAAGCATCTGTCCACGTCACTGATGCAAATGCTGCTGGACACAGAGCTCAAACAGATCAGTATGGGGGCCATTCAGCAGTTCAACTTAGATGTAATTCAGTGTGAATGTGAGTATAAATAAATGTAATGTTTAATTTTATTTATGTTGTAATTTAATGTTAATCTACAGGACTGTAAAGACTCTACACAGGGGGCCGACATATTTCAATTACAAATTAATTTTAAGATCTCAGACCAAAATGAACTGATGTGTTAGTGTTTGCTTTTTTCCTTGTTTTTGGTTCAGTTGTAAGTCTGTTGTTTGCAAGAGAAGTAGGTCTAAAACATGTTGATATTTATTTTGCAGAGACAGAGAAATGAAAATGAATTTAACATTGTTTCCAGGTTTAATATTGAATGTGTTACAGCCCAGTGTTAGCAGTAGTACATAGTTAATCTTCACAAGCAGTCTCATTGAGATCAGGATTTTTTCTTTATGAAATAACTGTGTACTAGTACAGAAAGCATACAGTATGTGGGCACAGTTCAAACACATAATTTACATTACTGTCAGAACGCCTGACTGTAATGCTTCTTCATGTCTTCAGATGAGATCAGAGACTTTTTTGCAACTCATACCATCTGTAAAAAAGTTTTCTCTACACAGGAGAAAAAAAATCCAAGCTCAGTTTAAACATATGTTACAGCTTAAGGTAAAATGTTAAATAATGAGATGTAAGCATTAATTCATTCATCAGTCATATGTGTGTAATTACGTGCCATTGAAGGCATGTATTACTATCCTGCATACTTATTCGACTTATTCATTATCTGTATCAAAATTGTGGCGCATTACTAGTCCTGCAGCTTTGAGAAAACCCAGACAATATATACAGTATGTCAATACGTGCGGCTCTATTGGGAATGGTGTGCTATGAATTTTCATAGCGATTCGAGTAACCATGGTGACGTAAATGGTAATAAAAGCCAAAAGAATTCCCATAGAGAATGAATGGGGAGACGTGAAAACAGCCAAACCCACCTCTCTTTGGAGCTCTGTTGCTGCGTCATACTTCAACCTAGAAAAATGGTTGAAATGTTAAATGGGTCACAAGACTTGAGATTTTTTTGGGTTCAATCGCTATTTTGACAACTATTACGGTTTTCACAAAATCGCAGTTCATGTTTTGTGTCATTTTTAGACCGTTTCAGATTTTATAATGGGTGTGTATTGCATGGAATGTTCAGAGCTAGAGTTGATGACATCATGCGCACTCTAACTGCCATCCCTGAAAATGTCTGGAAAATCTTTTAAATCCCACAATTTACAACCTACATTGACAACTCTTTATATCAAAAATGTAAAGATTGTCGTCCTGTATCACCCAGTATTGGTCTCATTCTGATATAGTTTAAGGTTTTTGAGGAAATCCCCTCTAAGTGCAGAGAGGGTTGTCCAAAGCTCTCATAGACGCCCATGTTAAACTGAGCTCTGAAGCTCTTGTTGAGGGGAGTCTCTAAACTGCGATAAAACCTCAACCGTAAAAGGAAGATATACATAAAATATATCAGTCTCTTTATTGAAGGCTTGGGATGGCAATGGTGAGGTGATCTTTTCAATGTTGCAGAAGGCTCTACTGCCACACACAATGCATACACGCTCATTGCTCGTTGCTGCCCAAACTTTCACACAACTGACTGTGATTGGCTAATTAGACTGATTAACTCAGGGCATTTTTTACTGTTGCCCATGTTTTTCTGTTCTAGCAGGAGAAATCACAGTAGCTTTATTGCACATCAACTTCTATTAGGGCATATACATGTGTGTATACATGTCTTGCTATGGTTGTGGGGACAAATTTAGGTTCCAGGTCACTTTGGCCAGTCCTCGCAGTTCTAAAGAGCTTTTTGAGGGATACCTGCAGTGACTGAGGTCAGAGTTAGGATAACTGTCTAAGACATGAACGAAACGCAAAGTAACGTCCTCTGTAGAGATTGAAACGTGTGCAGTGTTTATCACCCTGCTCTAGTTGTTTATCACAATCTTTATCACCCAGCTCTAGTTGCTACTTCTGGCACCAAGCAGTAGGCACATTCAAAATTTCTTCAGGAATTTTCTAGTTAATTATTATTATTCAAGTAAGTAACAAATGGACAGAGCACACAGAATAGACCCTTGTAGGACAACTATGAGTACTGACTTGGCACTTGCCATTTGAAATTTCTGCTCCTCAAAAGATCCTCATGAACATAACTAACAAAATTTTTTTTCTTTTCATGAAAATATTGTCAACTGTGTCAAATGTCCAGGGCATTGACAGCATCTCTCCCTCCAAGTAATGCAGCTGTTGATGTGTTGATGGTCTGAATCCTGAATCCTGACCGCTGAAGTTGTAATACATTATTACACATTGACGTAGACATTACACGCACCTTGGTAGATTGTGTGTGTTCACATGGAGGTATATGTTTACCATAGTGTGTAACCTCATCAGAGCCTCTTTAAATATGGGTGTGTGTGTGTGTGTGTGTGTGTGTGTGTGTGTGTGTGTGTGTGTTTGGGTCAACCAAAGTTCAGCACTGCGTCAGACGATCCAGGGAGTCACAACAAAACCATATCATGTTACTTTTCTCTTCTGTTCTGATGTGATACTGTGGATTTCTACAAAGAAATCGAAGGTCATCAGATCAACACATGACTGACTGCAGGGATCCACTGACTCGCCACTGTGGAGGCAGTGATGCTTTAACCTGCAGGGTTCATGCACAACAAGAATGATCAGTTGTCAGAAGTTCATGCTGGGGTTTTGAAAAAATATAGCTTATGATTAATGGATGATTAAAATATTAAATACACCCAATCACTTCATTGTGGGAACGTTAATATAAACAAAGTATCTTCACACACTCAGCTCCAATACAGCTAACAACAATCAGTAGTGACCTACAATTCATATACTTATATATTATAAGTATATAAGTTATGACTTATGGATGATGAGAGTTCAAAACTACGGTCATGGTCAGTTTTTGAATTACTGTCTTCCTGAAAGCTACATTGCATGTTTGTGCTATAAAACATGGTGAGTGACCACGTATGATATTCATTAAAAAATCCGCATTACCACTCATCATACTTCATGTTGTATGCTGTCATGTTGTGTAGAATGAAGGTGGGTAGATGAAAACATGTGAAGATGACAAGTGGATATTGTTGTTGTAGTTTTTTTTTGTGTTTGTTTTTACTAAAAAATCGATTGTGGAAAGTTTTTCCCCAGCATCCCGTCACACTGAACATCAGGCTCAATAACTTTATATTGGCAATGTTTATCATGTTTAGTTGCTACTTCTGGTAATCCTACTGAGTAATAGATTGCCCCAGTCTGCAGCTCTGTGTGGTTTTCAGTTGCATTTTGATAAACAGTAAAGCACAATGTTGTTCTTGTATCATAAACCAACATCTGTGAATCTTTACCTGAAAACATTTTAAATCTGCCAAAATCTATCTTTTCTATTCTCATATTCAGAATATGCAATAAATTCTTTAACAGATCAATTTATATGGTGTTTAGGGACAACTTATTTGTTAGGACTTTATGAATTTTGTTAAGGTGTCACGGTTAAAAGAATGTGTTATTTATCATGAAGCAGTAAACCTCTGGTTATCACTGCACCTGTATTTTAATTCTTATGGGACCCAGTTTCTAGTTAAATAAGTTTAGACCTCCACATTAATACTGTTTATTTTTTACTGCGACAGTAAGAAGCAGATCTGCTGTGTGTAATATATACTGTGAGTTTAAAGTGACTGTTGTCTGGTGGTATTTTTCTTTCTTCTCAGTGTTTGCCAGCTCAGAGCCCGTCCCTGGTTTCCAAGGAGACACACTCCAGCTGGCCTTCATCGACCTGCGACAGGTAAAATGTCTCAATGAGCAGCACAGAAGAAATACATTTACATGTGTTTTAGCCAGCACAAGGTTAGGACCGCTTCATTTAAAGCTCATTCATTCATTCATTTTATATGAAGATTTATCTTCCTCTGTCAAAGTTTTTTTTTATAAAATAATGAGACTAATAAAGTTTTTAGTTTTAAAACACATCACTCTCGCCATGTTTACACCTGGCGTGCACACAACTACGGAGTCTGGAAACACTGATGGGCCCGTTTTAGTTTGAAAACTCTTGTAGTCTGGACAGACAGAAACGGAGACCTTTGGAAACAATGATGTAGACTCCCATGGTCGCTCTCATCAGCCTCCACCACAAGTGGGTGAAAGAAATATGAATAACGAATTACAAGCGTTACTGACCTTGATGTCTTTGCTCGCAGCTGTTGTGGAGTTAAATTCTGCCATTTGCTGTTCCTCGTTCGTAGTATTTTCTGCAACTAACCGACTACAGAGTAGACAGTCAGGTGTGTTAGTATGGACGGAGGTGGTTTCTGGGTCGCCTGGACAGAGATCGTTTTCGATTGAAAACACAGATTTAAAATGTCCCTGGATCAGATAGTTTAGGGAAGGGTTCTCTCTTTTGACACCATCACTTGGAGTCACCAAAGTGATGGGAGGTTCTCGTCCTGTGTTTGGAAATTTAGTGGAGACACTACCCTGATACCCTGAGCAGTCCAACTCATCCACTCACTATGCAGCGCCCGGGGAAGAGCAGTGTTGGACTGTGACACATATTATTCAGACCTGCTTAGAGAATTTAAAGCTCAAAATATAATAAGATGACAAAAGATGGCTAAGACGAAACAGCTGATTGCAGAGTCACCAATACAACGAACACCTATTTAGTTACAAATTCAGTTTTGTAGTTTTAATCTGTTTTCACCTTTATGCACCTTTTACTTCAGTTGTCCCACATTTCACCTCTCTGTATCACATTCAACAATATTATGTTTCACTGGCCTTTTCAACTTTCACCTGTCCTATAGTTCACCTGCTCAAGAACACCCCCCCACCCACCCACCCACACACCCCCGCCCCAAACACACACACACACACACAAGCACAAGCACGACCCCCTTCCGTTTTTGTTGTAAACACCAGTGGTATGTAAAGTGTTGCTTCGTCTCATTAACTTGTGTCTGCTGTTGACCTGTTAATCTGAGCCTGAGGTGGAGGCTTGGCTCTGCATGCAGCGCAGGTCACAGCACTAAACTGAGCCAGTTTGTTGAATTCACTGCAAGAAGACTGAGGAACTAAAGGTTGTTACGTTAACATAGAACCTCCCATAGAATCACCCATAGTCACAATTTAACAACACCTGTTTGTGCATTTCCCACCCTGTTTATTAGATTTAAATGATAACACAAGAAATGAAAAGCAACAGTAAGAGATGGGGAATTAAGGCAGGATGTTGGTGGTTTTCTGTGGATTCTGCCCCAGTGATCTGATTCTTGTTAACTGAGTCCAGGGCCTGTTTCACAGCTCTCTCCAAACTGACACGAGTGAAATTCTGGTTGAGAAACTTCATTTATTTATTCGATCTTAGAAAAATAAGTTTATGCTTTATTTTACTGGTCTGTCATTTTCTAATAAATTCATGGGATAAACAACAGGCAACAGAAAACATGCAAATCTTCAAAAATAAAAAGGTGAAATCAGCAGATTTTTGGCATTTCTGCCTCAAGAAAGAAAGACTTTAATTAATGGATTATCAAAATAAATTTTTTGTCAATGACCAAACGACTGAAATAACCACATCATGGAACTTTGTATTTTCACTATAATTTGTATTAAATTTGAATATATTGAGATTAAAAAACTTGAATCAACAATAGAACATATCAATGTTAACACTGACCAGGGTTGTTAAAATTCCCAAATTAGAAACCTTCATGAGGACGTGACCTCAGTGTACTGAGTGGTGGCTCCAGACCTTCCTGGGTCTGAGTAGAGCTCCCAGTTTCCTGTGATGCAGCTCATTAGACGTGTGTCTAATGATGTTCCCTTTATACCGGCTGCTTGGTTGACCTGTTAATCCCAGCCTTAGGTAAAGGGGTTGGGAGGCATCCACAGGCTGAGGTTACACAGAGGTCAACCTTTTACTTTCCCTTTATCTTATGGTTGTTGATTTCATAGCTGTAACTGCTTTTAAGATTGTTATCCTGTAACCAATCAGACTGACTGACAGTCAAAACTCTAGGGTGATGGATGGAACGTCTATAAAAGGCTTGAAATGAAGATGGAGACAGATTTGTATGCAGCTGAGTTAATGTTAATGCTGTGACGTAAAACCAGTCTTGATTTAAAATATTCTGTACCTCAGTCATTAAATTCATCAAGTGAAGTCATATTGTTTTTTAATGACATGTTGACATTTCCTACAGTTTGAGACCTGCTCATTTATACAGTAGTTTTGTTTAATTTCTTCATGCATAAGAATATTGAGTTGAGTCCTTGAGCTATAAATTCATCACTGCTGGTGTATGAAGAAATGCATCAGGTTCACATACAGGTTACTTTACATTTTTAGTTTTACTTATTGTCCTATTTTAAATTGCAATACTGACATGTAGAGACAGACAATCCATTCACACCTATGGGCGATTTGCAGCCACCTTTAACCCACATGGAACCTGAGTGAGGCAGCATTGCTAACCACTGTACAACTGTGCAGCCTTTGGATCACGCTTATGTAAAAATAATTGATTTATACCGTATGTCTTTAGTATGCTCATGACAAAGACACATTGCATGTATTATAAGGGAGCAGTGTACAGTTGCTCATTTTCTGTGGCCCGTAAGTCACGTCGGGACATTGGAGGATAAGTTGTGTAGAAGCTCTTTGATAATTTTCCAGAAAAGTGACAGGAAGTCATAAGCGGGAAATCAGGATGTGTTGTCTTTTCCTGCTGTGGACGAATATCTGTGGAGGAGAAGATCATTACTGGGATTCCTCTTTTATGACTCTTGTTTACAAGATTAATGGTAAAAATAAAAATGAAATGCTACTTGGCAGAAGGTGTCATTTGTTCTAGAAAGTCATTGGTAGCTTATTTACACTCTGATTGTTAACGAGCTTGCAGGTGCTGACATACACACATCAAGCAGCAAACAGTGGCCGAGGCAATGGTCACAAAATGGCCCCCCCCCAGCACCCACGTTGTTTAAATAGCAAATACAGAATACTACCATGGGCGTGTGTGTCTTGAAATGAGATGTGGTCAGGCGCATTGTTGGCGCATTACTGTCTTGAGACAGTGGCAAGTGATTGCGCGATTGGCCAACATGTACCTGGTCTGAAATCAGTGGCGCAGTATTATACTGCTATTTTAAGGCGCTCAAGAGAATAAAGTGGACTCGCTGGTCAGGACTGGGCTTGCTGGTCAGGACTGGACTGTGATTGGTTTATTGGATGTTACACTGTTAACACTCCCGTGAATAATTAAGAGAATAAGTACAACCCTTTTGAACGATGCGCCTGGCGCAGAGGCATGGACACGCCCTAAATGCATTTGCCCTACACATTTCAGACCGTACGCTTCGGAACATTGAAATAGAGCCCTATGAGTTTAATGCATTTTGGTAAACAGTTGGTGGAGCTAATTCTCCGTCAGTAGCAGAGTTTCAGACCTGTAGTAGAGTTGTGGAACTGTGTTTCTTTGAGTGGGTCCCTGTTTTGTTTATATTGCGTATATGCACACACAAGCAGATGACACGATACATAGTCGTACCAACAGTGTCGCACTATTTCACCAATCTTGGCAGTAACACGCCAAGATGTCCTGCATATAGGTGTAAAAACTGAGCTAGACTGAGTGTCAACATGATCTAGTCAGAACTACCTAGAGTTAACCTTTCCTCACCTCTGGACCACCAGACTGCTGATGAGCCCATGCTGTCAGAGAATAGACATCTTCTATTCTAGCTCCTTTTTTTGCCAAACAATACAAGTCTGTTAGACAACAGCATCCAGCAGAAGACCTCTAAAGTGAAGCTTCACAAGTGCATAAAAGGAAGGAAAGCAGAGATGGATTTCTAGAGTTTCACACGCCGCCCTGATTCATTGTTTCAACGTAAAGGTGAAACCAGGGAGTTTCACAACAAACCATGAAGTAATGTCACAGAGATGATGATTTATCTGACACCGACCTTTTGGGAAATCACACATCTCATTCTCCTTTTCTTTCTCTGGGGCTCTTTCCGTTAATCATAAACATTCACCTCAGTCTAACCGTGGACATCATCTGGAGGCAGCTCCGTCATGTCTCTGTCACAGTTCAGATGTTTACTGGGAGCGAAGCCTCTTCAGGTCATCGCTTCCTCAGTACATACATTCCCAGTCTTGTGTAGAGTTTCAACATTTTTTGTGTATTACAGCATATTGAAAACGACTTTGCGGCTCATTTATGATTGTAATGACTGTGAGGAGAACGCCGTCTTGTCATTGTCTCTATATTAAAACTGTAGATTTCCTCTCCTGCTTCACAGACTTCTGAGAAGTGATATGTTTTTCTGTTAGTGCATCAAGACAAAGTCAATAGAAGAGAGATGCAAATGACCTGAACCAATAAAACAATATTATTCATGTAACAATGTGGAACATTACACCTCATGTAAATATGCTGATGGTGGTTAATATTTTTTTCTCTCTGTATGACTCCTCCCTCATCTACGTCCTAAGGTGCTTGTGAGTGTGTATCTGATGACAACAGTCGTTAATCTAGAAGGATCCTGCTGGACAAGTGGAGACATGTTATCAGAAATAGAAATAAGAGTGAAGTGTTGTGTGTGTGTGTGTGTGTGGTGGTGTGAACTGTCACTGTGCAAGAGCTGTGTAAGTCCTGGAGAAGATCTAATGAGAGTCACTATGTTGAAAGTTGCTTCAAATTCAAAAGGCTCCCTCTCAATTCAGCTCTCTACAATGTGCTGGACTAATGTTAGAAAGAAATCGGATTGTGGGTACAAGCAGCTGAATGGATTGGTGCCTGGGGTTCACAACTGGACATTGTGGTGAGGAGCTCAGACAGCAAGTCTAACAAATGGTGAAAACACAATATTTTACCAATTAAAGTTGAGTTTATTTGCTGGAGGAATTCAGGGATTGTCCTGACCACTTAAATGTTGTTTTATCTGTGACCATGGAAATAAATGAATTCCAAGAAAGGTTCATTTGCGCACATGCACAGGTAAGCACAACAGGAAGACTCCAGTTGGTTTTTAAGATTCCTACTCCTTTGAGATGCTTTGTATTTACAGTATTTGTTGGTGTATGGCTTTTGCCCACGTCCACTGTGTTACCAGCGTCAGCTAAGAGGTGAAAATTGTCAATGATTGTGAAAACTTCTCTGCATTCTAGCCGACGGTCCAGTGTGCATAACAGAGAGCATCTTGCTTGAGACCTCACGCACAGCTTCGGTCAATGTCTATTTTTGCTCTCTGAAGCTTGAATTCCGTTGTAAATGTATGTAATGCCTGTATTTATTGGAAATGGACATGAAACTAATATATGATGATATGTTTCCTTTGTTATTGAC